TGCCAGTCTAATATAACAATAATTTAAGAATGCATATCGTTAAATAATCAAGGTTCTTTCTGTTCCCACATATGTTTTGAATGTGTCCATTTCTATGGTTGATTAGTAGCAATAAGGAATGATATATAATAATAGGAAAAGAAGAGTGTTTGCCATTTAATTTTGATAGAAATTCAGTTTCAGTAATAATAACATTAAAATGGCTAAGGATGTTTTGAAAAAAGAATACTAATCAGCTCTTTATTCTATCCATGTGTACTTATAAATATTACCATATCATCTAAAGTAACAAATCATCGTAACTAAATGAAAAAGCCCCAGGTAAATAGCCTAAGGAGGTGACGCAGATAAAGGAGCTAATATGGTATGATGGATTAAACCTTGGAATCCAGAACTAACTTGATCTTGTGTATGACTTTAGGCAAATCAGTTTTTCTTTGTCCCAGTTTCCTTCTTAGTATGCTAGGAATAATATCAGTACCTTTCTTTGCTGATAGAGATTTAAATGAGATAACACTTAAAGCAGCACTTAGAATAACACCTGGAAATGCAACTGCAATTAAGCAAACAAAAAAAGAGTGAGTGAGGTTGAAAGAACTTTGTTTGCATATCCAGAAACATTTGAAATATAAGTCTCATCATGAATACTTTCTTGGTTTTGACCAGTAGCATAACTGAAGACCAGTGCGAGGCAGTGGCTCCTTTTCGCAGCACAGAGGGAAGTGAACTCAGCACCTTGTCTCACCTCCTTGCTGGCCTGACACCAGGTCACAGTCTGTTACCCAGCCTCCATGTGTTGCTCAGCATTATTTTTCAGGCGAGCATACACATATAGCGTTTGTTAGGATGCCAATCAGGCTTCATTGCACAGCACTCAACGTGGAGTTGTTTAGTAGATGATGCTAGTGGGTAAAATCTTTGATGTTTCTTATTTATTTACAGAGGATGAGTGAACACAAGTGTGAGAAAGACATAGAATTTGCACAGTTAACACATTTTCCCAGCATGTTCTTCAGGACAAATTTCAAGTATTTACTTAAAAAGATAAAGTAACATGACTGTAGAATACTTTAAAGTTTCCTTCTTAGTATGCTAGGAATAATATCAGTACCTTTCTTTGCTGATAGAGATTTAAATGAGATAACACTTAAAGCAGCACTTAGAATAACACCTGGAAATGCAACTGCAATTAAGCAAACAAAAAAAGAGTGAGTGAGGTTGAAAGAACTTTGTTTGCATATCCAGAAACATTTGAAATATAAATCTCATCACGAATACTTTCTTGGTTTTGACCAGTAGCATAACTGAAGACCAGTGCGAGGCAGTGGCTCCTTTTCCCAGCACAGAGGGAAGTGAACTCAGCACCTTGTCTCACCTCCTTGCTGGCCTGACACCAGGTCACAGTCTGTTACCCAGCCTCCACGTGTCGCTCAGCATTATTTTTCAGACGAGCATACACATATAGCGTTTGTTAGGATGCCAATCAGGCTTCATTGCACAGCACTCAACGTGGAGTTGTTCAGTAGATGATACTAGTGGGTAAAATCTTTGATGTTTCTTATTTATTTACAGAGGATGAGTGAACACAAGTGTGAGAAAAACATAGAATTTGCACAGTTAACACATTTTCCCAGCATGTTCTTCAGGACAAATTTCAAGTATTTACTTAAAAAGATAAAGTAACATGACTGTAGAATACTTTAAAGTGGGAGAAATGTTTGTTCTTAAACACTGTGCTATTTGGACAAATCGTTTTAACAATATATGGTGATGGGTGAGTATGAATAAATATAAGATTCAGGAACTTCTAATTTTACTTAAATAGTCAATGAAATGACATTTTCGAGTGATCAGATGAAATTCTATGTAAATTGAATTTGTCAAGTGCAGGTATGTGTTAAGTTTTAAAGAGAGTTAAACTTAGATAATTAGCTCTGCAAAGGAAGCTTCCAGAATAATGCAGAGATCTTCTGGGATGAGAAAGAAGTTTCTGAAAACTGAGGTGTCAGTATGAGCTGGATAATTGCCTAGAACTTGCCTGAGCCCTAAGAGTAGATAGAAGAGAAAAAGATGATAAAAATGTTCTCATCAGAGAACATATGGCAACATGTCATCATTTTATTTTATTATTATTTTTTTAATGAGAAAGGACAGGGGAATATAGAGAGAAGTCAAGCTGCAGCTTTTCATTTTGTATCTTCAGAGGTGATGAGAACAGTTAGCTTTGTACTTTAAATTCTTAGTATAAAATTAGAACTCTGGGTATCAGACCTTAGATGCTACAAAAGGTATGAAAGCTTTCTCTTGGAGCCCTTAGCCCATTCACTCTGTTTTCCATGTAGTTTCAATATTAACATAACATAGAAATAACTTCATTTCTCCATCAGTTACAAAAGTGAGGAAAATCAACCCTTTCTTCTTTCATCGTTTTTTTTTTTTTTTCCCCTAAAACATATAAACCTAGAAAAAGTCACCACCAAGTGCGGTTACTACTTAATTTGGCAGATCTTTTTCCAAGTAAATGTCACAGAGGAGGGATGTTCAATCAGAACATCTCATACATAATGTATAACTAGAGCAATTAATTTTTCCTTTGGTAGGAACAGCACATTACCATGGAAGGGTCAAAGTGGGCAGCGGCAGGAGGTAACAGCAAGCTAATTATTGTCCTAAATTAATTCATATTCTTCTCACCTTTTTTTTTGTATTATTAACTATAGTCAACATACTGTGCATTACATTCTCAGGACTTATTTTATAAACAGAAGTTTGTAGCTTGCAGCCATCTTCACCCATTTCCACTTCATTTTGTTTTGCCCATAATATTTCTAGAGTAAGATGAATCTATGAGCATTCCTAAAGATTAACATCATATAATTATAATAATTATTATTTTTAACAATCACACAAGTTAAAATGTCATGTTTCCTATACATTAAGCTCAGTTAATTCTTTATATGTATTATTTCGGTTACTTCCTCCAATAGTGTGATGAAGTATATATCCTTAATGTTACCATTGTACAGATGGAGCTACCAAAAGACAATGTTTTAAGTAACTTGCCAGAGTTTACATAAGGAAGAAATATTTAGCAACTGGAAAACAATGTGAAATGTACTTCATACACCACTCACTCTCTTTAGCATGTAAATGAAGCAATATTACAGAAACATGAGATTTCCATATACTATCTCTACTCCCTTTTTTTAGGGCAAAACATTCTAAAGATTTGTACCTCTGTGTCATCATGAATATATATGGTCATTTCCATGACCAGTCTTATGTCTGGCTGAGATAAACCACTTAGCACTGCAAAACCCAAAGAACAGATCACAATTTAAATATTAAAATGAATAAGCACAAAGAAATAGCATAAAATAAAGTTGTGCAAACTATCTTAATATGCTTTCAAGTGGCCTAAGAAAACTATAAATCATATTTACTTTTTTGTATTCTCCTAATGCTTTAAACTAGCAAGGTGAATTTCAAATTATTCAAACTACATGAAATGCCAAATGGATTTGATACTTTAATGTATCCACTTTATCGATTAGTTTGCAACGTGAAAGAAACATCATGAAAATGCTTTATTTTATTCAGTTTTTAAGAGACATTTCTATTGATCTTTGTTATGCCCACCTTGGCCAGGGCGCCTCTGTCTCTCTCCCTCTTCCACTTACTCAGTGTCAGGACCTCTGGTTTCTGGATGGGGATGGAAAGGTGAGAGATAAGGGACTGGAACTATCATAACGTCACAGCCGGAGTCCGGAGTGATGACAGGCGTCTGACGGCTGTCCCTCCGTTCTGGATTTCATGCGGGGGGATTCGGAGATGTCTTAAGGACCAGAGGTCCCTGCGTTTCCTTAGTCCGTGTCACACAGTCTTTGAATGACTGATTTCAGCTCCCGAAGCTTCTCCCTTCTGTGCAAAATATCTACAGGCAGTGACTTAACCTCTGGGAAATCACGCAGTTTTGCCTTGTCAAAGGGTAGGAACCGCATTTTGCCCAGTTCTCGCCCTCTCTCTTTCCCTGCCCTTTCACACCAGGCAGCTTCCCATCCTCAGAGCTCTCTAGGAAGAGAAGACAAACAAGTCCCAACATGTCCCAAGGATCTAACCTGTGATTGGGGCGCTGATCTCCAGTGTAATTGTGAAATTACAATTTCCTGAAGGAGGAGATAGGCAATAGTCAGGAGATAGACGGATAGATAGATATGTGGATGGAAGGATGCTTGGATGGGTACACAGATAAAGAAGATAGACATAATGAGATATGTCTATATCTAAAAAAAAAATAAAAAGCCACACATGGGACTGGCCTGGCGGTCCAGTGGTTAGGACTCTGGGCGTCCACTGCAAGGGGCGTGGGTTCAATGCTGGTCAGGTTGCTCAGAGCCCAAGGGCTGCTCAGTGTGGCCAAAAAAAAAAAGGGAAAAAAGCAGCATAATCCTTTCCTACATTTCTCTCACTAGTGTGCCTCCCACCTTTTAAGGTCTTTGCTATCTAATGCCTATTTAAATCATAAAAAAGAACACTAAGCTACCTTAAAGGTTTTGTGTAGCCCTGCGAACTTAACAATGCATTTGTTCCCAGATTGTCTTCTAACATGTGAAGCAGAATTCCCATGCACCACAAATGTTTTCCTGCACATCACATTTCATGGGAACTTATTCATATGAGGATTTCTACAACAATCATCAAAGGATGTGTTTTGACCAAGCAGAGTAACACCATTACCCCTCCCCACAGCAGGAAGTGATATAATTAAGTACAAAAAAGGTAAAACATCAAGCTCTTATAATTTACGGAAAGATTTTGAAAAATATTATTGTATCCCAGAAATACCCAGTGCCAACCTCATTTGACAAATACCTTAATTTCATATTAATACTCCACAAAGTTAAGGTTGCTTCTATATTACTTGACCAAGAAAAATAGATTGGAATTCATTACTGCATTCATTCAAGAAACATTTATTGGTCACATACTGTGTGCCAGAAGCTATTTCAGACAAGAACAAGTGAAAAAGTCAGACAATTCCTTGCCCAGTTAGGGTTTACACTGTAACAAAAGGATAAAGACAATAGCAAGTACCATATATACAAAGAAATACCAGGTAACTGAGCGATCTGATGGAAAGAAAGCAAAGCTGGGGACCCACATTTGGGGGAGAGTGGCCCAGTAGGTCTTTCTGAGGAAGTCAGAATTGATCATGGACTTGAATGAAGTGAGGGAATGAAAAATAGAAACGTTTGGAGAAAGGTTGTTTCAGGCCTTGAGCGTGACATTGGAAGAGTGGCGCGCACACAGAAATAAGCAGGGCACAGATGATACAGAACCTCAGGTGTCAGGTCAGAAAGTTGGCTTAGTTTCAAATGTGCTGTGAAGCCCCTGGGATCACTCAGAGTTTGAAAAGAAAGGGATCTGTGCGCTTCAGCAGAGCCGTGGGGGCTTTTGTGATGATGGGCTGTCGTTCACTGAGCTCTTGTGTTTTGTCTGGTACTGCACACTCTTTCTGTTTTATTTATTCTTCACAACAATTGTGTGAAAAAGGTAGATTGGACCTCATCTTAGCGATCACAGCCTCAGATGTGGAAAGATTATTCAGCTCAACAACGTTCACACAGTTACCTAAATAAAAGTGAAATAATGCAAACTCAGAACTGACAGGCTCAAGCCATGGCCTTAATGAACAAATATGGCTAATATTTTCTGATCCCTATAAAGGCTTTTAACATCTTCCTGTATCAACCACTAGAAATTTAAGACTTAGGCATCAACCTGTAAGTTAATGAAGAGTGACATTTAAGTGAGTGTGTCTTAGTTGCTTAGTCATGTCTGACTCTTTGCAACCCCATAGACTGTAGCCCAAAGGCTCCTCCATCCATGGGATTCTCCAGGCAAGAACACTGTAATGCAGGTAATAATGTGAAGCTGTGCTATTTCATTAAGTATCCACACTGATTTACCTTTATTCAAATTTACAAAAATGAGATCTTAAAGCCATATCTTTCACTTAGGATACAGCTATATTCTTGCAACACCTGTGTGACTAGAAAAAAACTTAAAATAGTTCTTGATATATTACCAAGTATAATATCTAGAAAATTGCAGTTTCTCTACTAGAATCTGATAGTATTTATATATAATTATGAAAGAATGCTTTTTAGACTAACACATAGGTATCCATCTCTGAATCTCTTTTCCTATGTGTGCTATGATTGACAATCCTATCATTAATTAAACCAGAATTTATGTTAACACATCTGCTTAATGCCACTGGACTCAAACATTAAACCTTATTGATGCAGATATTGCATCAATGTGCATTTTTATAAGGTGTTCATCCAAGCTGATAAGCTGTTTATAAAGCTTCCATCCATGACAGAACTGACTGTGAGCCCCGAAGTTTCTTTTTTCTTTCCTAATCTATTTTCCATGGATTGCTTCACCTGCTATTTATCATACTTTCAATTTCTTTAACCAAGATTATATACACTATTTTCTAAATACAGGGAGCTGCCATTCATGGAATGATTCATGAAAATTTCCCTAACTATACTTTTTCAATTTTTATGTCAATATGATAGGAATATAAATGTTCTCTCAACCCATACATTTATTTTTTACTTGCAAGTTTTTGCTCTTTTAGAAGCTTCTTTTGTTTACTGTTCTTACTTTTCCCTAAGTAAATAATGATATGCATGTACAAGGATTTACTACAGTTTATGTCCTTTCCAACTACTTTTAATAGCTTCCAAAATTGTTGTACTTCAAGTCTGTTTTTCTTAGGCTTTTGTAAAATTATATCTGTGTTGCTAACACAAAATGATATCAATGATACCTGATTGATATTGATGAAAAAATTATCTTCTATTACATGGTATGGATGTTTATGTCTCAAAATACAGACAGAGATATTGTAGGTATTCAACTGTTCCAACTTAAGCTCAAAATTATTTGAAATATTTGATTTGAACATTTATGATCAATTTGGTTCAGTTCAGTTTCACACCTTATTAATAAAAAATGAACACATAAAGCAATCTTGAGGACACAGTATTCACTACTTTCTGTTCAAGCTATGAATTTCGAATTTCACTTTGATTTGGATAGAATAATAAGAATCATTCTTACAAGGCTGATTAAAATCAAAGTGTTTTATTATCTGACTATCTAATGTTACCTTCAAGCTTTATGTCCAGCAGCTTAGCATATTTCCTTCATAACATTACAATAAAAGTAACTATTGCACCTAATTTTATACTGCGTAATAAAAAAATGACATGGAAGAATCAGTTACAGTCTAAGCATCAATAAAAAATGAAATGCTGAGAATTTTATCATGTTTTATTTTATGCACAGTAAGAGCAGTGCAGTTGATCATAATATTTAGGAGGAATACTAATTCCAGCTTGAACCCAGTACTCCTTTCACTTACTTCTATCATTTTGGTAGCAATAAAATTAAAAAATTTCACACTTTCAACTATTTTTTAAAAATTTCAATTTAATCTTGAGGAAATATTGATATGTACTTTGTGATTGCATTGTGATATGATAAAGAAGTACTTTGAAAACATATGAAAATCTCCTAAACATAGTCTATGTATGCCCTTTTTTCTATAAAGCTGTAATGTCAAAGAGAATATAAATTTACACTATATCTTTGACTCATAAACAGATACCAAGCACCAGTCTAAATTTGAAATCAGTTTTAAAATGTGTTGAAGACAATTTTAAAATATCAAACTGAAATGAATCATAGACTTTCAGTCATAAGCTTGCATATTCATAGAAAAGAGTTTTTGAAAGTTGTATATAACCACCCAGAATGTTTTTCTCTGTAGAGTATCAGGAAGTTAACACACAGAAACACTTTACTGTTACTTTGCAAGATTTACAAAGTGAATAAAGGAAATAAAATTAAGACAATCTAGTTCATTGTCCTTTTCATATTAAACAGTCAAAAATTTTGAGAATTTGTATTCGGCATTAAAAAAAAAAATCCGAAAGAGTATTTCAAGGGCCTGCTAGCGGGAATCTGCAATGTTAGCTTCACTTCCCTTATCTGCAGTCAGGGACTATATGGGGTATTTACTCCAAGAAAATCAGAGAATAGTATAAATTGTGTCTCTTTCTTTTCCCAGGGAACTGAAGTAAACAACTTTTCACCAAGCGACTACCAGTTTGCCCAAACATGCATTAGCATTACAAAAAAAAAAAAGTCTTAATGAAAAAACCCCTAATTCTTTGACTGCACAGCGGAACCAAACATGCACGCTAATCTTTTAAAGCGAGGTCCCAGTTGGTTAAGATAATCATAATTTTCATCGTGATCAGAGACTGCGGAGTCTAGGGAGCTCAGGGATCCAGCTAAGGACCCTGTTCCCTCAAAAGCATAGGTTTGGAGGGAGTCGAAAGGCGGGGCACAGGGGTCAGTGTCAGCCTCTTCCAGCTTTTCTAGAATGAACTTCCTGAACACCGCGCTGTCCGGGCCGCCCTGCAGAGACTGCCGGTACAGGCTGCGCATCTCCGCCCTGGCGGCTCTGCGGGGCTTGCGGCCCCGCATCAGCGCGCTGCCCCGCAGCTGCGCGATGTCGAAGGCCTCCGTGTCCGCCTCTCCGCCACCTTCATCATCGTATCTGAATATATTCTCTCTGAAATCTTCACTTTTCTCAGGAAACAGAGTCTGTTTCCTCCGTTGTTTCAGACCGAGGTTCAGAAAAACAAACCCTGTCAAACAAAGCGTATCAGAACATTAACGCAAATACAATATTATATATTATAAATGTTTAGGCTTTATATTACACCTGTTATAAATATAAGGCATGTTTACATTTGTATTACTATATTATAAATAAACATATAATGCCTAATAATGTTATACTATATATTCATTCTATTTATACTGAAACACATTATCAAATATCGTTATTTATAATATTAATGCATACTATAATTAAACATATAATGTTATCTATTTATAAAATATTGTTAAATAGTATGTTATTTATAATAAGCTATAAATTCTTGCTTTTGTTACAAGCTCAAGACATAAGCTTCAGGTTTCTGATTATAAAGCAAAGATATATTTGTCATTGTAAATTTATCAAAGGAACTTGCAGAAAGATAAGGAAGTAGAGCAGACTTAACTGGCTGATGATTTAGAGTGGAAAAACATCAGAAAAATATAGTGAACTTTATATGATGATCAATTTATGACAACAGTTTACTTTTTTTCTTTACTGAAAATAGAACAAAGATGAGAAATAAGATTTTCCAATCTACGTGCCTCTGTCAGTCTCAGGAACCAGTGATCCGTGTTAAAGGAAGTGAAGCACCCTGAGCCGGTTAGATTTTTACCACTGAGACACATTCTGTGGCATAATTTCTTCCTAAGTTAGTATTTATTGACTACAAAGTCTGTACCAGTCATTTTTCTAAAAGCTCTACATATATTCATTGATTTGCTGTGATACCCATATTTTATTATAGTGCTCTAGTAAAGATGGTGAAAACAAAATGCAGAGAGATTAAATCACATGCCCAGGAAACAAAAAGCTGGTATTCAAAACCAGAAAGCTGGTTCACAATCTGTGCTTTGCTATACCATATTAATTTCAGAAATTCCAAACTTATCAGGTTTTTGAGTCATAACACTGGTATGTTCACATCAAATTGTATCAATATGAAATAGTTTACATTGTGTAGAAATAGCACAATTTCAGAATGCTTTTTAAAAAAATTTCTGGAGACAAGTGTGTGTATGTGTGTTTCATGCGTAGTCAACCCTTTCACAATCTCAGATCTTATGTATCTGTTCAGAATTTCATCTACAGGAACTGAAACAAACAGGAAGTGATGCTTCTAATATTATCAAAAGATAAATACATTAGGCAATATTTTAGGTAAATCTCACATTTAAATAAATTGAAATAGTGTCCCTGAAATAAGTTCACTGTGCCTGAATCCAGGTACAGTAATTCAATACAGCTGAGATATATGGTTGAAATAGAAAGGGATCTAATAAATAATTTTTCAATCTATGAATTGAAGAGCATATTCATGAAACTTTCACAGGAAACTGCTGACTATTGTTGAATCTGACATTCCACCTTTTCAATATGACTCATGCCCTTGACTGTGAGGTTGCCCTTGGTTCACTTGTAGGGTCTTGGGACTAGGTTTAGGTCTGTACAAGTGAGCAACTTTGTACTTGCAACCTGCAAACATTATACTGTTTCTACTGCTTCTCGCTTCTGATATCTAGTTATACAGATGTAAATTCAGTTTTATGATAAAAGATCATCAAAAATAATTTGAAAAACTGAAGCTAGGTAGAAAAGAAGGGTAACTTTGTTAAAAGAGGAATGCATGGTTTTTAAAGCTTTGAGAAAGATGAGAAGAGTGAAGGTAAAGCAAATCCTGAAACATTTTGTATGTCAGTTTGAGTAGTGAGTTTGGGATTTCATAACCCATGGCTCATGTGGTTGCTGTCAACACTCAATACAGTTGTCTTGGCTTTGATATGAAGTTATGAGGGAAGTGACAGAAGGGTTTAGACTACATAGACTGGTATGTTAAGAAAAGGTAAAAGTTATGCTTGATGTATACTGTGTAGTTTTGAAAGCCTAGCTAAAACATTTGGAACCTCATTTGCCTCATCTGTAAAATGAGCATAACTTATTTCCTTGTGAAAACAGCAGCAACAACAATAACAAACAGATGAAAACAAATGGAGCTATTTTACTAAGATTTCTTTAGTGTTTAACACCTTAAGTAAGACTATTTTACATTTTTAGAATGAAAGCTATGTTTATTTTTAACTACAAAGCTAGCTTAAACATAATTACCCATCACAAACAAGTGATTTTTTTTTTTTTAAAGCAGAAAACTTTCTGTTAGTTCCTCGTGATATATGCTGGAAAGCTGGAAACCCTGGGAGAGATGTGACTGACAGACTTATGTATGTCCTGATCAGTTGGGATTCCTTTTGTTTTTGTTTTTTTTTTGAGTAGAGTTGATTTACAATATTGTGTTAGTTTTCAGCGTACAGCAAAGCAAATCAGTTATGCGTGTACACATATTTACTCTTTCTTAGACTTTTTCCCATATAGGCCAGTGCAGAGTATTGACGGGTGCCCTGGGCTCTACAGAGATCCTTGTTACTTCTCATTTACATTTTTTTATCCTAACATTTACTCCCCCAATGCTCCTAGGCTTTAGTGTGCTGCCCTAAAGGGTTGGATGGAGGTATGTTATGGTCATGGAATCTCAGCACTTCATTTACTAGCTACCTGACCCTTTGTAAATCAGGTCACTCTTTGACTTTCACTTTCTTCATGTGTCCAATACAGGCAATAACAGCTGCTACATCTTGAGGTTATCCTGAGGAGTACACTGCACAATTTCTGCAAATCACTTAAGACAGTCTCCTGGAGTATAATAAGCGCTCAACAGAAGTTTGCCTTTATTACTAATTTTTACATTACTACATGTTGCAGTGTGTGTGTCAAAACCACTCCTAAAAGGATGTGCACCTGTGTACTCACATACGCATCAAATTCAAGGATCACTGATTTTGAACTTGAAGTGCATATTCACTCTATTTTTCATTTACTCCACTTGATTTAAGAATTGTAACACATTCAGAAGGTCAAATCAGATCAATTGATCAATAAAAGATCAATTCAGAAGGGCAATTAAACACATACACAAACAGGCACACACACACACAAGTCGACATTATATCATTATAATGGAATTCACTCTTTTCTATATGTATCATGCTGTCAATAAATGAATATATGCTCAGTTCACATAACTTACCAAATATTATCATAATGCATATCAGAATGGCAGTTATGACTTCTGCCCTGAATGCCATGGAAAGCATAAAATCCTTATGACTGCAGGTCTGTGGGCTGTCAGCATCACCACAGTCACACACGTGTATGGTAAGAGTGTTTGTACTTGTAAGTGATGGAATTCCATTGTCCGCAATTAGGATGGATACGTAGAAAACAGGCTCTTCTTGAAGGCTAAAGCCAGTTCTATTGGTCAAAATTACCGCTGTGTTATCTAAAACAAAAATCCATGGGCATAATTTTTTTCAATAATGCAAAAGAAATTCATAGCCACTAAGTGTAGAAGAGGCAGTAATGTAGAGATTAAATAAGCTCAAATAAGAAAGAGTACATTTCTGATGAAAAAGAAAATTAAAAGATCAATTAAAAAAGTCATTTCTGATTTTGACATTACCTAAATCCCAGTTACAAAATTAGATGAATTATATGAATCAGTTCTAAAATGTTTTGCTTTTTTCAGTTTTTTTTGTAAAGATAGGAAACATACATATGGAACACAGAAAAGAAATAACTTTTTAATTAGCCATTGACAGTATACCGGGGTGTTAGCATTAAATGTATAAAGACTCATCAGTTTCATTTGAATTAAATACTCATGGCTTATTTTTCTAACAGAAACTCATTACTTTCACAAATAATATAAATACATGAGATTTTCAAAGTCATCTCTGTGTCACAGTAAGTGATCTCAAATAATATATTTATTAATAAGGCAAAAGAATTAATTTTACTTGGAGTTAAAGTTCCTTTTAGAACATTTCATTTCACCTTGACATTATTAACCTATTTTCTACTTATATTTCAGAGAATCGTTAAACCTTAATAGTACTGATTAATTCACCTGGCTAGAACACTCAAATAGTTAACAAAAATAAATTATATATACAAAATTAAATTAATATTTAATTTTTTCCCTTGAATCCCCAAATATGCTAAATGGTCTTCTCCAAAGCAGTTTATTGTGTATCAGTTTATGATACACAATATGTTTCCCCCCAGACACTTTGTTTTTTGTGTATTGGCATTCCTTGAAAGATATTCTGTAGCAATCAAACAAATTCTAGAATATACAAACAAATAAGAGGAGATAGATAAATGGAAGTCTTTGAAATAGATAAATGAAAATAAATGGAAGTCTTTTGAAATGTATGCCTACTTATCACTTTTCCCAAATCTCCTTTTAAAAACAAATTCTCCATCATGCTCTTGAAGTCTACAAATCATCTGTGATTTTATTCAGCAGACATATCAAACAGGTGAGAAAGTTTATACTTTTTGGTATGTATTTTCTTAAATTACTTATAACCACAAATACCAAACCAATATTAAATTTTTCTCTTTATGTGTCAATATATTTATTTTGTCCCACTAATTTATTTTATATTAATATAAACAAATCTAAGCAAACATAAACAAATATAAACAAATTCTTATTTTGCTGTTGCATTTTTTTTTCACTGGGGAATTTGATAAAGGCAAAGGGGAAAGAATGTGTCTGCATTTATTCTTCCATAAAAGATCTCCCCTTGATGGGAGCTTAAACTCAGGTATAAGGCAGAACAGCTGCACATGTTTGGTTATAGATGCCTGAATAATGAATCCTACAGTGCTGCATATCTTTGTGATATGAAGCAAAACTAGAATAGAAATGTATATAAAGACAAAAAATATTTTATTGAAGCAAAAAAGAACAATGCAGCTTTTTACAAAGTTAATCTACTTCTATATGGAAGAAAAAGGAACTCCGTCTCTCCATACAAAATCCTTTAGAACATTTTGCTCTTAGGCTGATACAACCATTTTGTTTTGAAGGGAAAAGAACAGCCTTTTCATAAATTTATAACTTCTAATTAATGATTCCAAATATCTTTGAATCAATCAAGTGACTATGAAAAGTGAAAGTGTTGGTTGCTCAGTTGTGCGTGATTCTTTGGGACCCCAAGGACTGCAGTCCTCCAGGCTCCTCTGTCCATGGAATTCTCCAGACAAGAATATTAGAGTGAGTTGCCATTCCCTTTTTCAGGGGATCTTCCCAACCCAGGATTGAACTCCAGTCACCCTCATTGCAGACAGATTCTTTACTGTCTTAGCCACCAGGGAAGTATATATCATTTTCTTCTCCAGATATGAAGACATGAGAGGAACTGCAATTAGATTTTCAAGGTCATTAAGACTTTACAAGGGCTTATAGCCAATAATTACTTGAAAAAGTGCTTCCAGTTTAAAGAAATCCAGTGGGAAAGGAGGTTAGTATTCCCACATTACTTTGGGTTTTGTTTCCCATTTCCATTTCCAGTCCTTGAATAATTTCTCAACACTATCATATTGCAGGAACAGTATAAAAAGTAATGCTATGAATTTTCTTAAATTTAAACAAGATCCTGAAGAATGAATAGAAAGCTATTATAAGTGAATGGCATTACCTTGGTTATCTAAGACTGTAAAACTCGAGTTATTTTCTTCCATAGACAGATTGAAATAAAAATGGTGATGTTCTATGGATTCGTCTCTATCCACTGCACTGATGGTCTGAATCACCTAGGGAAAAAAAATGGGGATAAGTTTTGATCATTCTCTTTATAATATTCTGATTTTATTTAAAATTATTAGTAGCTTTTATTAAAATTGCTTTACCAAAATCTTTATGGATAATCCAAAGGATATCTCAAAATTGGTGGAAAATATGAAAATATTTTCTGAGGTTAAAAACATGTTTACTTGCTCCTTTCAAAAGAATGTCTTGATATTACATAGAAAGTAAATTCTTGTTAATGGATGAGATGATTTCCACAAGCTAAGTTTGTCAGAAAACATCCTCCGATCCTTCCTGCCTGGATTTCTCCTTTTTGTCCTTTTCTCCTTCTTTTTTATCTGAATACTAACCATTACGATTTGCTGAAGTTAAATAGTTCCTGCATAGATTGGAGATATAACTGTAATAAACTTTATTGTCTTACTTGAGTTTTTGTTAAAGTAGTGAGTTTATAAGTTGATTTTAGGAATAGTGTATTTAAAGCGTAGGGGCGATGTACATGATTTCCTTTCACCCACAAGACAATAGCAAAAGTGTTCCATGTCAAGTAAATTCCTCTTTCTATCTCAGATCATAAAAAAGTGAGATAATGCAACTCTCAACAAATCAGCTCACAATTAGTCCTTTGCCTTCAAGACATGAAAGTGTCAGTCAAGTAGTTAATTATTGTCAAAAAAGAGATGTGCTGTCAAGATCAAATAGTGAGACTGTGATTAATTCTGGAAATTAAAGTAAATTGACTATAGAAGTTATTGTTTTGAATTTTCTAGAATTAAATTGCTTTTAACAATGTGTCAAACAAAAATATCCTTAGTTGCAAGATGACAGATATGATTTATAATCTTATATTTCAAAGGATATCTCTCCACATGCATGAAGAATCATGTGAAACTAATGCAGTTTGTACATTATTTCTCTACATTGATTTATCTTTTCCCTTACAACACATTTCTAATTAAATCACAATCATGGAGTGTTAATGAAATAATCTAATAAAAGAAAACATTCAATCCATGACAACAATAATAAATGTGCATTGTATCAGAATAATGCTTTTACTTTGAGTCATTACAAGATTTTGTATAGCCAGGATGAAGGATATGGGTTTGGAAGTCTAATATTCTGAATTCTGTCTTTTCCACTTAATGTTCTAAGTTTAAAAATTGGAGAAACACTTATTTATTTATTGGCCACAATGCATGGCAAGTGGGATCTTGGTTCCCAGGATGGTGGCACTAACAGTAAAGAATCCACTTGCCACTGCAGAAGATGTAAGAAATAGGGGTTTGATCCCTGAGTTGGGAAGATCCCCTGGAGGAGGGCATGGCAACCTACTCCAGTATTCTTTCCTGGAGAATCCCACGGACAGAGGAGCCTGGCAAGCTATAGACCATAGGATTGAAAAGAGTTGGACATGACTGAAGCAACTTAACATGCATGCAAACCATGAATCAAATCTATGCCCTCTGCAATGGAAGCCCAAATTCTTAACCACTGGAGCACCAACTAGTTCACTTTGCTGTGTATTTGAAACTAACACAACACTGTAAATCAACTATATTCCAATACATATTTTTTAAATATGGAGATACCAATTTTTAGGATTCATTTTTAGGATTTTTATCTATTTTTAGGATAGATACACATTTAGCACTGAAAAAGGTGACTGAACAACTGTTCTAAAGGTCAAAGTGCTAATCAAATAATAGAGCTACAATAAAATTGAATCTGTAATCTGTTTTCTTTCTTAGTTTAGAATGTTTTTAAGAAAAAAATATTGAGAAGCTCATGGTATCCTAACATTTTGATAGTAGACAGAGGCAGAACTAGTTTCAAAAAAAAACTTTTCACAAAATTTTATTAGATGTATTTAAATTACATTAAATGTAATGTTTTGTAAATGTAATGTAACTTGTACAAATATACATTTATTCTCTTAAAAATGATATATTCTTAGATTTTATCTATATATATTTTCTCATTTTCCTTTGATAAATTACTTTCGTAAACATTCTTTATAAAAGTTCATATAAAATCATCACATACAAATTTAAAATTATGAAAGTATGTAGCGAATATCCCAAATGTATCCATTTAACACACGTTTCACCGGCATTTGGAACATGCCAAGTCATTTCAAGTCTGGGTGTCCCATGGTGGCTGGGGCCAAGAGTGTCTCCGTCACCACTGTTTACGTTCCAGCAGAACAGAGGTAGCAATTTTCTCTAATTATTTGGACTTACAGCTTTAAATATAAGAGAAAGAACTGGCATAAAGATCCAGAAGTCATTTGCATATGAACGGTAATTGAGACATTTTGTGTATAACAGAAAGAGTGAAAAAAATAAAAAGTATGGGACAGGAGAGAGAAAGGAAGATGAAGAGAAAACTGGGATTGCACTGTGGGATCATAGAAATTTAGGCAGGACAAAATTTTTACATGGAGAGAATGTAAATGTCTTTACTTTAGACAGTGTATTGGTATGAAGGAGTCTAAAAATTACTGCTATTCTACTTTACTTCTGGAAAAGATATTTGGTATCAGTCAAGATAATGGGAATCATTAATTTGAAAAATGATAACTATTTACACCAAACAGAAAAGGCAAATTGCCCCAATGTCAGCTCATTTATTATATCCATACTTTGCAAACCTCTGAAAAGTTTTACTCTTCCTCTCCTCCCCATCCTGGCCATTTGCACATAAGGAACAGAAATAAAACTTCTGCTTAGCCACATAGGTCATTAGGGGAATGTCTGATTTCCTTCAGAATAGAATGCACTGTTCTGGCATTTTGGTTTCCTATAGTGATTGTATTATCTACCCAAAGCAGATAGATACAGGAGACCTTTTAACACACCATTTTGTCCAGCTGTCTGAGTCTGTGGGAAATGAGACAAGAGTGATTTTCATAGTATAAGAAAAGACATAAAATATTTCCCTATATTTTTATTACATGTGAAAATCATCATATTCTGTCAAACAAACATAAAAATTAATTTTACCTTTCTCTCTACATTTTAAAAACTTTGGGGCAAAAGCACTTAACATGAGAGCCACCCTCTTAAACACATTTTTAACCATAGGGACAATGTCACAGGCTTATTCACCCAGCTAAATGGAAACATTATGCCTGTTGAAGAGCAACCTCCTCTTCTTTTTTTTTTTTAATGCTTTAAGAAAAATTAAAATTCTATCATATTTATTTGTCAGCACTTTACTTACTTTACTAGATAATCTTACGTTCTCAAATATATTTTCTTCTTTTTGGAAGTCTGCTTTGTATGAATTATATGTATTATTGTATGGACCTAGGCTTTGGAACACTATGAATTGACAGTACAGAAAGAAAAGATTTTATTCTAATTATTATTTTAAAATATACTACCAAAATAAATAAATAAATAAAATATACTACCAAATGTGTTTCAGTATTAAGGGAGATTTTGACTATTAGACTGAGTACCAGTTATTTCATTCTTACTTTCAAATATTTTCTGCCACTCTGTAGATTGTCTTTTTTATTCTTTTAACAGAGATTTTCACAGGCTTAATTTTGATTACATCAAATTAATACATGTTTTCTCTTATGGATTGGTATTTTGGTGCTATATTTAAGAACTCTTTGTCTAGCCATAAGATAATTCTTTCTCTTCTGCTTGTCTCTAGTTTTAGGTTTATATTTAAATCTATGATACATTATAAAATAATCTTTGTATAAAGTATGAGGCTTAGATGGAATTTTCCATTTCCTCCCTGTTTCTTTCCTACTCATTTGTTTCAGCAAAATTTGTTGAAAAGACTGGAGAATTTTAATATATTTATGTATCATCTTCCCAACACTGTTTACATCATTCAGATTTTCAAATTATTAGAACACACAAATAACATATTACAAAATAGGGATTTAATTTTACAATTTACCTAATTTTTCTTTTTCTTGGCATGCATACTCAAAGGTATCATTTCATTGTCTTTCAAAAAATAATTTTGAAATAAAATAATCTGATAATTTAAAATGTATTAACTTACTTTAAGAAAGAAAAATGAAATTTATTGAATTATTGCTTCTGAGATATTTTATAAAAACAACAAATTTCAAACTAACCAGAATAAATCAAGAATGTACATAAAAAAACCTCCAATAAAAATAAAACCAATACCAGTAATACATTTATATTGGTTTTTTCAATTTTTGTTTTATAGTTTTGTAAGTACTTGATTGTTTTTTTTTTTTTTCCTTTGATGCTTTCAAATTGTGGTGTTAGAGAAGACTCTTGAGAGTTCTTTGGACAGTCAGGAGATCAAACTAGTCAATCCTAAAGGAAATCAACCCTGAATTTTCATTGGAAGAACTGATGCTGAAACTGAGTCTCCAATATTTTGGCCACCTAATGTGAAGAACTGGTTCATTGGAAAAGAACCTAAGGCTAGGAAAGATTGAGGGCAAGAGGAGAAGGGGGAAATAGGATGAAATGGTTGCATGGCATCACTGACTCAGTGGACATGAGTTTGAGCAAACTCAGGGAGATAGTGAAGGGCAGGGAAGCCTGGCGTGCTGCAGTTCATGGAGTTGCGGAGAGTCTGACACGACTTAAAGACTAAACAACAGCAATATTTATTCAGTATTTTAAAAAGTAGTTTGTTTGTTTTTTAATGTTTTATGACATTTAATAGGATACCTAAAAAAATGTAAAGTTATTGTGTATTGGAACTGATATACTCAAAGGAGAATCTAACTTAAACTCTACATTTTACAAATATAATTAAAGTAAGCCCCATATGAGAAAATGTGTGAAAAAATTGTGAAGTAATGATAATGTATTTCAAAATGAGTATGCTTTCCTAAGTCTTTATATATTTAATAATTCATTTCAAATTGAATTTCATCTATTGATGTCTGATGTATTTTATATATCATTTTGTCTTTATCTGCATGATGGATGAAATAATAAAAATTAATTAAAATTATATACTTTACAGAATCACAAAAAATAATTTCTATATTGACAAAGTACAAATGATTTACTATTAAATTCTAAGGGTTAGCAGATTTTTCAAATGTGAGGAATCTGTTAGTAGAAAATTTGAAGTTTACATATTTTTTGAAAGAAAGAAATTTAAATTATATGTAACTTACAACATTGAAGCCTATAATTAATATAGCTAAATAAAGGTTATTTTTATTAATATAATTTCAAAGATGGAGGAATACATAGAAAATGCTATTCTCTATAACACAAAGTACTGTTTAGATATAGGCAATTTATGACGGATTCTTACCTGACCAGAGACTGCATTTTCACAAACGTAAGTCTCATAGTATTCAGAAAACTCAGGAGCATGATCATTGATATTGAGAACTTGTACATAGACAGGGACTGAAGAAATCTGTGTTATATTGTCTGCAAATTGAGTAAACAGAATGAAAATAAAGAATAATGCCATTGTTAGGGGTAACATGGTCATGAAAATTGCATTAGAGGCTATGTGGTATATTTTTATTTCACATGAATAAAAGCTGAGGACAGGATCATTATATATTTCATATACAACACTATGGCCTACAAAAAATGTTCTCAGAACATTCAGTTCAATCAGTGTTTATCGAGTGCCTTGTACCTGCCATGGACTTCAGGAAGCTGAGGAAAAGCAGTAAAGTAAAGAAGATAGTCAGGTGTATGAACTTTTTTTTTTTTTAATCCAGGAACAGTCAAACATATTTGTATTCTCCCTGGCCTCTACTAATTAATTACCAGTAGCATTGTCCACAGTAGTTGTGATGATCTAAACTGTGTTCAGACGTGGTCTGAGGGTACTAGGAGGCAAAACTAGGAGGTCACAGCTGTGACCTGTTGAAAGAAAGTGCTAGTCACTCAGTCGTGTCTGACTTTTTGTGACCCCGTGGACTGTAGCCTGCCAGGGTCCTCTGTCCATGGGATTCTCCAGGCAAGAGAAGTGGGTTGCCATTCCCTTCTCCAGGGGATCTTCCTGACCTAGGGATGGAATGCGGGTCTCCTGCATTGCAGGCAGATTTTTTACCAACTGAGCCATTAGGGAATGGTATTGCATATTATAATTTTAAATCTTTTTTTCTTCATTTAAAAAGCCACTTGAAGATACATACATTGAAGAGTGGGGAGAAGGAGTTTCCTTAGTTTGTCTCAGTGTCTTTATAATCTTGCATGCTCTTTTTTTTTTAATCAAAAAACATTATATTTGCAATTGTAATGTGTAAAGGCAAAGAACAATTAAAAAAATAGAATTAGTTCTGCTGAAATTTACAGAAAAGTCTTTCCTTCCTTCCCCTTCTTAGAGTATTTACTTTAGAAAAGCTTGTAAATTATTTTTCTGTCTCTTTGATATGTATGTTAACTTTTTAAAACTGAGATAAATCTCTTGCCAACTTTACAACCCAAACTTGTCTTTTTTCAGGGCTGGGAGCCAATTCTTTGGAAAGTGATTAATCATCAAGGAAGATATTAATAGCATATTTTCTCCCATTTTCTGTGGGAGGGTAAGCACCTAGCTTCAGCAAAGACCTTGACCAAGACACAAAACTATTTCTTGTCACAAATGTATAAAATGTTTAGTTTCCATATGGATAAAGCCAGTTAGCAAACAAAAATCAACTACTTAGTGGACTTAGGATAAACTGCGTGACACATGGTGGTGTTAAGTGCTCCTACTTTAACACCTTAATTGTTTATCTGGGCTTCCTGGTGGCTCAATGGTGAAGAATCTGCCCTGGGTCTGGAAGATCACCTGGAGAAGGGAATGGCTACCCACTCCACTATTTTGAGACATGCCTGCAGTGGATGCTATTTGGTTGGCTATGTAAAAGGCTGAGGTTTCTTTCTGACTTTGCATTTTCTTTCCAACTATGATACATTTCCAGCTCATGCGAAGAGTTGACTCATTGGAAAGGACCCTGATGCTGGGAGGGATGGGGGCAGGAGGAGGAGGGGATGATAGAGGATGAGATGGCTAGATGGCATCACCGACTGGATAGACATGAGTTTGAGTAAACTCTGGGAGTTGGTGATGGACAGGGAGAACTGGCCTGCTGCGTGCAATTCATGGGGTCACAAAGAGTCAGATACGACTGAGCGACTGAATTGAACTGATGATACATTTCAAATTCTGGCTGGATGCTTTTTAATTATAAAACTGTTTATATCTGTTTCACCTTGTGAAGAGATTTTCCAGGTTGGGATGAGATTTTTTATGTAATTATTTTAACCAATACATAACCAATCAGTTAAAATTAAAACTTGCAGTTTCTATTACATATAAAAGAAACTCATGGGCTTTAGGAAATACATAAACCACTAAGAATTATTATTTGGTGACTCATCTCTATTGTATTCTGTTCAGGATCAAATAGATTAAAAACATTAAAATATGAAAAGATATTTCTGGAAATTTCAAGAAGAAATTATTTAAAACTTAAGGTTCATATCTTACGATTTAACTATACATCACTGTAGAACAAATTTCTGCCTAAATGAAATGGGAAAAAGTACATCAGTTATAAATAAATTTAAGAAAATTAGTAAAAAAAAAAATTCATTTAAAATATTTTACCTTTTTTTTTTTTTTTTCCTGAAAAAGCTGCTTAAAATTAAGTTCAGGAATCAAAGATAGTGGAGGAGTAAGACGGGGAGATTGCTAGCCTTCCCGCAAATACATCAAAAACTCAAGATATGGAACAACTTCTACAAAGCAACCTCTAGGCTGCAGAAGACCCCAGGCCTCCAATGAAGTAGGAGAGAGAAGGGAAACATAAAAAAGAGAAAAGATGGAGAATTTCTGGGCAGGAGCTTGTGCCCCAAGGGAGGGAGGGAGCCCTGAAACAGGAGTTCCCGTGCGCTGGGAATCTCCCTCACAGGCGGGCCCAAAGGGGAGCTGCGAAGTCTAGGAAAATCAGGCAAAGCAGGGACTTGGAGGGCAGTAAACAGAGAAAGCTGTACTTCTCAGCCCATTAACAGCTCTCGGACTGTGACCCCAAACAGGCTCGGGGAACCGAGAGTGGTGCTGCAGACAAACCCAACGCGCACACACAACCCTTGCAGCAGAGAGGGCGGGCCCAAGTAGCCGGCGGACAAACACAGCCGGGGCAAAGGGCAGGACTGGGGTGCCGACAGAGGAGAGGCTTGCCAACTTCGGCAGCACGCACAACCCTTCGCAGAGCAGAAAGAAGAACAAATACCCCCCGCCCCGCGACAAAGAGTGTAGGCAGTGAGATGAAAGAAGTGCACATAAACCCCGCCATGCAGAGAAGGGGCACGGGGAGTCGAAAGAAGTCCGCACTAGCCCCACGATGCAGAGGGTGAGCGAAGCCCACACGAGTCGCCGCGACGCGAAAAGGACCCATGCAAGCACCTGCCTAGCAAGCTTGGGCCAGCAGCGCAGGGCAGGAAACGGGAACAGAAGCACCGGCAAGGATCCAAGGGGCAAGTAGGAGGCTGGCGGCACTGCAGTTATGCTGAGAGGGCCACTTTGAGGCAGCTGCGGAAATAGACACGCCTAACACCTTGAAAGCTACAACAGCTGCCCAGAGGCATACTGCACCCATAGACGCTCCAAAACCTACTACTGGCCTTCAGAGAAACCAGATCCAGCCCCATCAGCCAGAACACAGGCACAAGCTCCGCCAACCAGGAAAACATCACAGGAGCTAACCCAACACCATCCACAAAGGCAAACTCCACAACCAAGAGCGACGACCTTGAAAACCTTTATTTATTCATTTTTTTCCTGCTTCATTTTTTTCGTTTTCTTTCTTACTTTCTTTTCCTCTTACTAATCACACTGTTTATTCCCCCAACATATCTCCACCTTCACACTAGCATTTACTGGCGCTGTGAAGTTTTCCTCTTTGATTTTCTTCTTAAAAAAAAAAAATCACTTTAAGATTCTTTCTTTTTATAAATCACACTGCTTATTCCCCAACATGTTTCCACCATCACGTTAGCGTTTTGTGTTGCAGTTTTCCTTGTTTAAAAAAAAAAAATTTTTTTTAAGATTTTTTTTCTCTTTTTTTTTAGTAAATCACATGGTTTATAGCCTTTTGCGGTGCTGTGGAATTTTCTTCTTTGTGTTTCTTGTCAAAAAAAAAAAAGGAAAGAAAAACATTAATTTTAGGGGTTTTCTTTTTTTTCTTTTTTTTCCTCACTTTTTTTCCTTTCTTGATGAGTTGTGTTTTTGTTTTTTTTTTTTTGAAGTTAAATAGCCCAAATACTCTGTATTCACTTTTCTCTGTCCTATTTTCTTCTGCTTTCTTCTAAATCTTCTTATATCCTGTCACTTTACAGTGTGGATTCTACAAGTCAGATACACTTGGACACTAAATGAAAATGAGATCAATGTGTCACTTCCAAACATTTCATTTCTGCATATCATACCATATAAACAATATGATCTTACTTTGCTAACCCCAGCAGAAATTTGCCAGTGCTAGGACAGCCCACAGGACATTGTNAGACCCAGAGGGATTGGGTGGAGAGGGAGGTGGGAGGGGGGACTGGGATGGGGAATACATGTAACTCCATGGCTGATTCATGTCAATGTATGACAAAACCCACTGAAATGTTGTGAAGTAATTAGCCTCCAACTAATAAAAAATAAATGAAAAAAAAAATAAAGTAGTTAGTTGTTTTATTCTGTTAAGTAGTTAGAATAGGGAAAATGAGTCCAAAATGGCAGTGGCTAAAAGACAAAAAAGGGGAAAAGCCCATGAAAATAGAACAAAGGAAGGTCCCAGGACCAGAGTGAGAACCCCAGGCAAAACAAACAGCCCTCCTGGCTAACGCATTAAAAAAAGAGGAGCCAAAATTGAGCCAGGGGCTTCTCTTCTCTTTGCGTCTTTTGGATTGACCCACCCTCATTCCTCGCTTGAGGATGTATTTTCCTTTGCTTGCCGAAATATACTGAGCTGTAACAATGGTCTGTCCATTGCTTCAGATGTCTGCTATTGGTGAGACACAGCTGAGGAAATCACAAGCTCCCCCGACAGTTCACTTAGCTGGCATGTTGATGAATAGCTTGGTGCTTAATTTGGGAAACTTTCCAGGAAAAAGACTAAGCACACAGTGAACTTCATTTGCCAGGAAAACACATGTCAACTTGAAACATGTCTTTCCTATAATCAGCACAACTGATAGGTCACAACCTTCCAGATAGTTAATGCATGCAACAAGTGCTTTATGTAACAATTTTATATGAAGCTCTGTTTTCCACTATTTGAGTGTTTTGTTTATATTAATATGTCCTAAGTGACTTAAATGGGTCAAAAATTATTTTTGATGTCAATATTACCATAAAAAATTGGCACTTACAGTTATTTTCTCCAAAATTGTTCTAAAGTGAGTTTAATAATGTGGATTAAAAATTAATCAAGAGATAGAGGGAAAATACATGAAAATTGGATGCTTGGTGTTACATAAGTTCTTGCTAAGCAAGTTCCCTTAAAATGAAACAGACATTTTACAAAATATATGTTCAAAGATGAGTTTAAAATATTTTTTTTTACTCTAAGAAAATGAATTTTATAGCACAAGAAACAGATCAGCAATAACTATGTAATTTCTAAACTTGATAACATTTCTAATCACTTATTTCTGGAACAGTGATTAACTTCTAAGTAATAAATTTCATGTAATATAAATATATTGTTTATTTTCAGTTTGTTTTCTTGGGAATTTTTTTCTTAACCATATTTTTAGTCTCCTTTTATTTATAAATTTTGTTTTATAATTTTTTTTTACAATATTTGTGTCTTAGAATACACATAATCAATTTTAAAGACACTGCTTTTTAATAACATAAATTGTGGTACTTCTAATTTAATAGAAGTTAATGAAATATTCTTACTTAAGTTCTCCTTACATATAATATAAGATTACAGTGGATAATTATTTACATAAATTTCATTAAAACACGTTTTAAATTTTTTACATAAAGTTACATAAATTATTTACATAAATTTCATTAAAACATTAACAGTTGAAAACTACTTCATTGAGAAACACATTTTTCAAAGATGTTCACTCATCCTTTGAATCGATTTGAATTCTTTTTTTAAATAGTTTTGTAAACAGTGATATATTTTTTTCTCCAAAATATCCAGTGAATAAAAGCTTCTTGCTTTTAGGCTAAACATTCTTGTGACTTCTGACACCAAAAGCTTTGGCATTTCTTCTGTGCAGCAGACATTTATTCCCTTGCAACATTTGCTCCCATCCATTTAGTGTTTAGTTAAACAGAAAATTCAAGACTCAGACCCAGTCTTCCTGGGTGCCAAAGAGCCACTCAGTGTATAACAAAATACACAAGAGACGCTTTCCATTCCAGCATCTCAACAGCAAACTTTTCAATAAAGTAAGGAGTAAGATATGTGTTTAAAGACTTTCAAAGAGCAAGCCAAGAAGATAAACATGATTATTAAAATTCTATGTAAAATCAGTTTGGAAAGGATGAATTCCGATACCTTTCAAATTCACAAACTGAATCCTTTACTGTATTATACAAAATCCAATGACTACAATAGTGATGATTTTGATAGTCTTTTCCATTGTGTTCTCTCTATTCTTTTGAGCTTGATTAACTTAATAACTGATTAATTAAAATTTTGAAGACATTAACTGGTAAACTGGATAATTTTATCTATGTTTTGAAACCTGAAAATGGAAAAATACCTGGTCACTACTGATTATTGAAGACGTGACCATTAGCACAGCTGACATCATGAATTTTATTTGAACATATTTCACTGGGCAATATTTTACATGTCCAATTTGAAAAATAACTTGCAAAATTTATATTCAATGTTTTAAAAAATTGATTTAAAATGTATTGTAAGAGCCTATAATTAATTAAAGATTTTAGAATTTCAAGTGACTTGGGTTTATTTCTTATGTTTTTCTGAATCTCCTATGATTCATTTCTTGTATTAAATATTATGTATTGCCATAATAAAATAGAGATATTTTGTGGTAAGTATATAAATAAGCTGTGGTAAGAATGAACAAGCTGTTAACTTTTAAATAATAAATTATATACACTTGCATGAATTGATATATAAAATAACATTTAATTCTAATTTCAGCAACACTTTAACCTACCTTTTGTCCCTATGTTTAGAGGTTGTTGAATGTGTTAAAAAATACAGTGAACCAATATATGGTTCTCAAATGAATACTTACATTTTTCCGTGGCTGTAACACTTAGGTTGTACCAAGCACTAGTCTCTCGATCAAGTCGGTTAGTTGTAAAGATTGTGCCATTGTCATCAACACTGAACACCTCACTTCTGGCAATAGAATATCTGCACACACAGACACAAATTATTTCTTTTAAAAGTATTATTTTCTCTGTACAACATACTTTAAAGACTACACATCATCCTTTTTAAGCAAAAGGATATCAAATCTACATTCTAGAGAGCTAGTATAATGCTGAAAAATTTCAAAAAAGTAATTTCTACATTTATATTCAACTCAATGGAGACAGAGAAGAAAAATCTGAAAAAAACTCTAATTTTCAAATGATGCATGCCAAATCTGGACACACCACTCACTCTCATTCCCAAGAGAGAATTTTAACAAGTAAATGACTTGGTTAAAAAGAAATGGCAAAATGTCTTTTGCAAAATGAAGAGAAGTACAAATAAATGCAGGTAAAGATTAAAGCTTGTAATATATTTTTCCCCTCTTTGAGACAATGTAACACAAATCCTCACTGCAGGTTGCTGAGTCTCCTTCTTGTACCACATAGTTGCTTTCTAAATCTGTGCATCACATTATAATTACTTGATTTTTGACATATGAGAAATGTTCTTTTTTTTTTTTCTGTTTAAAGGGAATAACTTGACAGTGTTTTTGCTAGGTCATGTACGATTCTTGTGACTCCCATGGACCTNGAAAAATGAAGCAACCAACCCTCAATCCAAGAAGACTGTTTCAAGGATGATAGTATAGTTTTAACCCTACTTCCTTAACTAAGCCTAGGAACATGTCTCATTTGTTATTATTGCTCGATATAAGTTGTGTCTGACTCTTTGTGACCCCATGGACTGCAGCATGCCAGGCTTCCCTGTCCTTCACCATTTCCCAGAGCTTGCTCAAACTCATGTCCACTAATTCGGTGATGCCATCCAACCATCTTATCCTCTGTAGTCCCCTTCTCCTGACTTCAATCTTTCCCAGCTTCAGAGTCATTTCTAATGAGTCAGCTCTTTGTTTCAGGTGGCCAACATATTGGTGCTTCAGTTTCAGCATCAGTCCTTCCAATGAATATTCAGGATTGATTTCCTTTAGGATTGACTGGTTTGATCCCCTTACAGTCCAAGGGGCTCTCAACAGTCTTCTCCAACACCACAGTCTGACATGACTGAGCAACTTTCACTTCACTTCACCATTTAAGAAATAAGTGTGTAATATATATTAGAAAGAGCATGGACTAAAGAGCCTAAAATGTAAAGTCTAGATGTTCAGATTAATCTTTGGTTTGCTTTGCAGTTCCTTTTTAAAGACTCTTCATTCCACTAAAAGTGCTGAGTGAATAGAACGTGGTTATTAAGTGTTTTCTCACTGCTAAGGGCTCCTGACAGAAAGATATAAACAAATGATTTCTCCATGCATATAAGGATGCCTTTATAGTCTGTTCTTAATCTTCATAGACCTCTACAAAAGTACTATTCCCATCTCCTAGAAGAAGAACAGACACACAAAAGCCAAGCCTATAAAAAGGCTAAATCTTCCCGAGTAGGTGCAACTCCACCAGATCTTTCAAGGTTGCTTTTAAGTATGCTTTTATGCACAAGCAATAGAGGATTTGTTTTTGTTTTTTTTTTAACTTTTAACTTTGTATTGGGGTATAGCCAATTAACAAGGAATGTTGTGACAATTTCAGGTGAAGAGGGAAACGACTCGGCATATACATGCATGTGCCCTGGCTCCCCAAACCCCCCTCCCATACAGGCTGTCACATAACATCGAGCAGGGTTCCCTGTGCTAAGGGGCTTCCCTGCTGGCTCTGGCAGTAAAGAATCTGCCTCCAGTGCAGGAGACCTGGGTTCAATCCCGGGGTTGGGAAGATTCCCTGGGGACGGAAATGGCAACCTGCTCCAGTATTCTTGCCTGGAGAACCCCACGGACAGTGGTGCTACACACCAGCCCCTTGTTGCTTATCCACTTTAAATATAGCAGTGTGGACATGTGCATCCCAGACTCCCTAACTACCCCTTTCCTCCAGATTTCCCCCTGGCAACTACAAGTCCGTTCTCTAAGTCTCTGATTCAGGTGAAAGATGTTTAAAGGCAGCTTCTTCCACTGGTGGAAGAAATCCTTGTCATTCTTGAACGAAACACAAACCTGCTTCCAGCTTGTGAGCTAGACTGTTTCCCACAAGCCTGACTACTCAGATTAATTATCTTTTGCTGTGAATGCAGGCAGTTTTTCTCTTTCAAGGAATTGGTCTGAATTCATAGACACAGAGTTGTTCTCAGTATCTCCTTATAATACTGTTTAATGTCTACAGGTTCAATAACTGCATTCCCTCCTTCATTTCTGATAATGGTAACTTCTGTCTCTTCTCTTTTTCCCCTTGGTAGTCTGTTTAGAAGGATAATTTCTACTGGTGTTTTGGAAGAACCAGCTATCATTCCATTGTATATCTCTATTTTCAATTTCACTGTTTCTAGAATGTTGTGACAATTTCAGGTGAAGAGGGAAACGACTCGGCATATACATGCATGTGCCCTGGCTCCCCAAACCCCCCTCCCATACAGGCTGTCACATAACATCGAGCAGGGTTCCCTGTGCTAAGGGGCTTCCCTGCTGGCTCTGGCAGTAAAGAATCTGCCTCCAGTGCAGGAGACCTGGGTTCAATCCCGGGGTTGGGAAGATTCCCTGGGGACGGAAATGGCAACCTGCTCCAGTATTCTTGCCTGGAGAACCCCACGGACAGTGGTGCTATACAGCAGCTCCTTGTTGCTTATCCACTTTAAATATAGCAGTGTGGACATGTGCATCCCAGACTCCCTAACTACCCCTTTCCTCCAGCTTTCCCCCTGGCAGCTACAAGTCTGTTCTCTAAGTCTGTGATTCAGGTGAAAGATGTTTAAAGGCAGCTTCTTCCGCTGGTGGAAGAAATCCTTGTCATTCTTGAACGAAACACAAACCTGCTTCCAGCTTGTGAGCTAGACTGTTTCCCACAAGCCTGACTACTCAGATTAATTATCTTTTGCTGTGAATGCAGGCAGTTTTTCTCTTTCAAGGAATTGGTCTGAATTCATAGACACAGAGTTGTTCTCAGTATCTCCTTATAATACTGTTTAATGTCTACAGGTTCAATAACTGCATTCCCTCCTTCATTTCTGATAATGGTAACTTCTGTCTCTTCTCTTTTTCCCCTTGGTAGTCTGTTTAGAAGGATAATTTCTACTGGTGTTTTGGAAGAACCAGCTATCATTCCATTGTATATCTCTATTTTCAATTTCACTGTTTCTGCTCTAAAGTTTTTAATTTTCTTTCTTTTTTCTTTCCTTTTCTTTTCTTTTTTTTTGCTTAAATTTAACTTGCTCTTCTTTTTAGGACAGAAAAGATTTTGCTGCCATTCCCATATATATATAAATTACAAGATTTGACTCTAGGTTTAGTTAGAAAGGAAATTGTAACAATGTCCAAGAAATGAATCATCCACAGTAGTGGCAAAAGTATTCACTCCTTCTATCTGTCATCTAAACAATGCAGTAATATAGAGAATAGGGATAAGATGAAAAACTTTGGGAAGATTTCTTGTGCAGTTTCTTATAACTTTATGATGGAGTTTTTTATTACAGATCATTTCGATGCCCTAACTCCCAACACACTAAACTCCTTAAAACAACTATTAATACATGTTTTCCTCCACCGCCTTCCCTTGTTCATCTATTTTCCATATTTATAGTCCAGAGAATTACACAGGATTCCATATATTAAGATGCTGGGTATTGCTTTGCTCTTTGGAAGGGCAACTGATACAAAGAAGAAGGTTTTTTACATTTTTAAGACAGACGATGCTCCAGTTTACCACTGTAACTCCTAATCACAAAATGCTGCCTTCTAACATGTAGATATAGTTCCTATTTATTAGCAGTAAATTCAGTAATGAATATAAGTATATATGTAGTATATGTGTGTGGGTGTGAGTTGTTCAGTCGTGTTGGACTCTGTGACTCCATGGACTGTAGCCTGCCGGACTCCTCTGTCCATGGGATTCTCCAGGCAAGAATACTGGAGTGGGCTGCCATTTCCTTCTCCAGGGGATCTTCCCAACCCAGGGATCCAACCTGGGTCTCCTGCATTGCAGGCAAATTCTTTATTGTCTGAGCCACCAAGGAAGACTTCCAATATATGTGTGTGTGTGTATAATCAAAGCACAGTATGCTGTTTAAATTTTAAATAGCATGTCTGTTAACCTGCTTGTTTTTCTGACAATACTAAAGAACACATAACTTAACAAATGCTTTCATGATTAAAGTTTTCATTATGTCATCATTTATAATGACACATTGTAGAAACAATTTAAATATTGAATCTCAGTTGTATAAATAAGGCAATGAATGATGAATGCTTTATGAAAGTGTAAGTTGCTCAGTCCATGTCAAGCTCTTTGCAACTCCATGGACTGTAGCCTGCCAGGCTCTTCTGTCCATGGGATTCTCCAGGCCAGAATACTGGAGTGGGCAGCTTCTTCCTTCTCCAGGGGATCTTCCTAACCCAGGGATCAAACCCAGGTCTCCCACATTGAGGGAGGATTCTTCACTGTCTGAAACACCAGGGAAGCTCAAGAATACTGGAGTGGGTAGACTATCCCTCCTCCAGCAGATCTTCCTGACTTAGGAATTGAACCAGGGTCTCCTGCATTGCAGACAGATTCTTTACCAACTGAGCTATCAGAGATAATGATGAGTAAAAACATAGCTGAAAATGAGGCATTAAAAAAAAAATACACAAGCATTAAAGTTAGATGATTATGTGTGAAATATTATGCAACATATATAAGAAAAATGTGACAACAGCCAAATGTAATAACAGCTTTTGCTTTTATCTTTAATGAGAACTACAAGGAGAATAAATTTTTTTTAAAGGCAGAAAATGTATCGCATGAATGTAACAGACTAATTTAATGGATGGTAAATATAGTTTAACTGCAACACAAAAACTTATTTCTAACTGATTGGACTCATTTGTATGCCTTTAAAGTTACCTTGTAAAAGCTTGGTTAACTTTTGAATATCATTCCCTGGTGGCTCAACCGGTAAAGAACAGCTCACAATGCAGGAGACATGGGTTCAACCCCTAGGCTGGGAAGATCCAGTGGAGAAGGGAACAGCTACCCACTCCAGTATTCTGGCCTGGAGAATTCCATGGACTGTATAAAAGTCCATGGGGTTGCAAAGTGTCAGACACGACTGAGCGACTTTTACTTTAACTTAATCAAATACTATTTGTATGAACCACATTGTCATCAACTTTGTTTCTGCTCTCACTTGGCATAATCAAGGGCTTCTTTTCCCTCACATCTCTATCCCAATTAATAGAGTTGAATGCACTGAATTTCAGGGCACTGCCTCTCTCTTGTCCATATTTGCAAGTGCTTATTAATTTGCATCTTAACCAATAGTGAGGTTTCCTGTTTGACTTCTTTAAACTGTTGCAAATTTTATGTGACCATAGAGAGAAATATAGGTCTAGATATATCCTTGTTCCACTTATAAAAAATTTTATTTTCAAGCTAATCTGTGTTCCCTCATTTATCAATGCAAAGCTGGGCTTCCAGACATACCCAATAGGAGATTTCCTCTGATCAGGATCAGTGGCAGAGACCGTGCCTACAGAGGATCCGTGAGGGCATTCTTCAAAGATTTCAAAGATGTAATATTGGAGGAGGAAAACAGGAGGCTCATCAACATCTTCCACCTGGATCTTGATGACAGTGGTGGAAGCTTCAGTGTGGTATTCCCTGAGTTGCTCATCAACTTGGGGATTTTTAACTTTTGCTCTAATACGATAGTGGTTCTGGTCCTCAAAGTTCACTTTCTGCAAAGTAATACAGTATACACAGAAAACCCAAGGAATTACTTAGGGGAAAAGAAAGGTTTTGTTGGTAAATTAAGTTTCAGGTGCTTTCCAGTTAGGTTTTTACTACTTATGTTCTTGGATCCCTATGAGATTGTCATTAAATACTTAGTAGTTGTGGAGAAAATCCCTATGTTATGTGTATTTTGATATTTACATCTATTACAAAATGTATTTGGTTAATAATCAGGTTTCTTTTAGGATTAAAACTACATTTCTGAGTACAAATAGGGAGTTGAGAATTAATTTCCTGTTATTTAAGATATTTTTGAAAAGTTTGTCCTCTTAAAATCTTTAAATTTGTCCTCTTTAAAATCTTTTTCAAAACCTCTCCTACAGTGTAATTCAAGGAGCTCTGTAATAACTCTATCCTCAGTTATATCTGAAATATATCATTAGAAACATAAATAACTGAACTTTTTCTTAATTTATTCAGAAGTATCTTGCACAAAACTGATAATTAGCTATTTTATAAGTATGATTTGTAATTTATGCTAAAATGTAGACAATAATCATATATGTTAATATTCTAAAAAAATGAAACATCTTAGAATTTTTTTTAAAGCACACATATCTTTCCTTTGTTCTGTAAACTGTAAATCACTGAGTCTTAATTTAATTGCTTAATTGAAACAAACACTAACTGGTTACACAAAATAATTATATGTATTTCTGATTTGATTTTGCATTATTATGCGAAAGAAACAACTTTAATGCACCTACCTTTTTTAGTATAATTATTCCTTCTTGGGTTTCGTTATTGGTAATGACGTCAAATGTTCTTGAATCGTCTTCGATGCTGTAGTCCATTTCTGCATTCTCTCCTATGTCACTATCATATGCCATGATTTTTCCTATAGACGTCCCAACAGGTGCAGATTCAGAGACAGTCAAGCGATATAAACCTTCAAAAACAAAATTCAGGATATTTCGCACAGATAATTAACATAAAGAACTTCCAAATATAGCGCCCTGCCTTTATTTAACACGCTGTCAGAAAAAAACATACCCACTCTTTTTACTAATTGTTTATTCTAAATACACCTCTCTCTCCCTTTATATTTTGCAGTCTAAACATTTCCCTCATATCTTTTTGAGTATTTATTATTTTCTCTTTAAATATATCTTAGAAAGTTCTTTCACCACTACACATAATTTCCAAATTTCTATACATATTCGTGTGTGTGTATATGTGAGTCAGTCAATCATGTCCAACTCTTTGTGATCCCATGGGCTATATAGCCTGCCAGGTTCCTCTGTCCTTGGGATTCTCCAGGGAGAATGGGTATACATTCCCTTCTCCAGGGGATCTTCCTGACCCAAGGATGAAACCCAGGTTTCTTGCATTGCAGGCAGCTTCTTTACTGTCTAAGCCACCAAGGAAGCCCATTCATACTCATACCTTCTCAATATTCGTGGATTTATTTTCTATTGTGTCCTTCAACAATGCCAAATTATATATGATAAAAAGTTTTTCATTTTTACTCAGGCATTCTCTGAAACCTAAAATTACCAATAAATATAAATACAAATTGAAGAAAGTAGAGTCTAAAAGCAAATAGTTGAGTTCTAAGTGTAGCAGTTTGATTTTTGAGAATATGAACTTGGATTGTATTAATCACAGTTGAAATGAAATAGAAAGATGCGGAAGTATGCAGCCATAAAATAGAATGAAATAAGAACATCTGCAGCAACATGTATGGACCTACAGATTATTATACTAAGTGAAGTATGTTGGGAAGAGAAAGACAAATGCCATATGCTATAACTTATATGTGGAATCTAAAAAATGACACAAATGAACTTATGACTGATGCTGAAGCTGAAACTCCGATACTTTGGCCACCTCATGCAAAGAGTTGACTCACTGGAAAAGACCCTGATGCTGGGAGGGATTGGGGGCAGAAGGAGAGGGGGAAGACAGAGGATGAGATGGCTGGATGGCATCACCAACTCGATGGGCATGGGTTTGGGTAAACTCAAGGAGTTGGTGATGGACAGGGAGGCCTGGTGTGCTGCGATTCATGGGGTCGCAAAGATCTGGACACGACTGAGCGAATGAACTGAATTGAACTGAACAAAACAAAAACAGACTTACTGATACAGAGAACAGAACTGTGGTTGCCAAGTGAGATGGGGAGTCGGGGAAAGGATGGATTAGAAGTTTAGAACTAACAGGTGAGAACTATTATACAGAGATTGGTGAAACAAGTCCTCCTGTAGAACACAGGGAACTGTATCCAATACCCTGTGATAAATAATAAAGGAAAATAATATGAAAAAGAATGTATATATGTGTATAACTGAATCACTCTGCTGTATAATAGATATTAACACAACATTGTAAATCAATTATGAAAGTGAAAGTCACTAAGTCATGTCCAGCTCTTTGTGACCCCATGGACTGTAACCCACCAGGCTTGTCTGTCCATGGAATTCTCCAGGCCAGAATACTAGAGTGGGTAGCCATTCCCTTCTCCAGGGGATTTCCTTAACTCAGGGATTGAACTCAGGTCTCCTGCATTGCAAGTGGATTCTTTACTTTCTGAGCCACCAGGGAAGCCCAAAATATACATCAATAAAATAATTTTAAAAAGAAAAAAATGATGGAGCCACAATAGTTGGTTGTGAAAAACCATGCTGGTGTCAGATGACTCTATTATTTTCATTGAAAAAAAATAATGGCAGTTATAGTTGAGATACATTGACACAAATAAAAATAAATAAGCTTCCTTTCTTTACTTTTCAGAAATAACTTGCATAAAATTTATTAAAAATTAGTCACTCATATATCATTTGTAACTTATGCTGAAATGTAAAAAATCATCAGGAATGATAATATCCTAAAGAATAAATCTTAGAATTAAAAAAAGGAGTACATTCAATACAATTTTCCTTTAAAGGGATTCTTGATTTCCTTAGAAGCAAGCACATTGCAAGTCACTACATAGACTGCCTTGTGAGATCTTTCTCTTTTTTTAAGTGGGAGAAATGTTACTTTAAAGTTGATAATATTTTGCTGTTTTCAGGAAGTAAGAGTTTAAGTGTGCTACTGTGTATCTATCATTGTGAGGAAGTTAAAAGAATCATTTACTTGATTGCACAAATTAAAAATTGCCAACACATTACTCTTAAGAAGAGAGTGACACTATCTAAATCTGAAAGCAGATGCTTTAACACATTGCCAAATCAAGACTTAGTCTATGCTGTTTCCCATACTTTCAAAAATCATTTGTTAGGGTACTTCTTACTTACTGTCTTTAAATATGGGTTTATTGTCATTGACATCAGAAAGTTTGACTAATACACTTGCTGTTCCAGACAGTGCTCCAGGCAGACCAATCATGTCTTTGGCTTGAATAATCACCCAATACTCATCTTGCAGTTCTCTATCCATTTTAGAAGATATTCTTATTTTTCCTTTAAAAATGTAACAAACTACAATTACTATTTCATGATTAACCATGACATCTTCCTAGTTAATTTCTTAAGAATTTAAACATAAGATCACTTGTTTGACACATTTTGAATCATTACAATGTGCCAGATGCTGCCCTGGAGATAAAAATATGACAATAAACTAATCACCAACTCTGCCTAGAGTTTAGAGTAGTCATCACAATATTAATAGTAGTAAATCCTTAGTAAAATACTATGTTAACATAAACCACAGGGAGAGAAGAAGAAAGTCTTATTTTTCTGCTTTGCTTCTCTGACCTAAAACTAGGGTGCTACAATTAACTGTTCCCCTAAGCTTGGAAGAAGTTGGTTTATTATGGATATGTGTGTAAATTAAAATTCTAAATTTATGCAAAAATACTGTACACCTGTAATTTAAAATTTATTTTGAGTCATAACTTATGAAGAAGGGCTGATCTTCAATTCACAGTTACTCATAATCTACCAACAGAGATATTCAAACCCACACCGGACCATGAAATTGTTGTATTAAGTGTGCATTTTCTATAAAATTATTTATTAAAAAGTTAATCATCGTTAAAAAAACCTAGGAGAAACTTAAGGTGGTGAATAGGTGGGCGAAATGCAATCATAAAGATTTGGGGAACACATAATACAAATATAAGAAAGAGAATGGCTAATCTTCAACAATGTCTGGGCATTGATTAAAAACTGTGATACCTGAACAAAAATAAAAGAAGGATAAATTGGACTTCACTACGATGATATTTTAACTGTGGACTGGTGTTTCACAATTGTATTCTAGTATGTGTAATCAATATGGAAACCATAGAATATTATGAAACAGATGCTGCTACTGTCTTCCCTAGGTGTGACTCAATGGAGAATTGTATTTGATGTTAGCAAAGGTGAATAGTATTAGAGTTTTTGAATTATATATTCAAAGGTGTGGAGACTGAAAGAAACACAAAGGCCTTCACTTCCCATGTGTAGAGGCTTCAACTAACATTGCCTACTTCATTTTCTTTTCTTCTCATCTTTAGAATGAACAAATTTAAATATATTCCTAGATCCTCTTACACACTCCAAAATTTAACTCTCCTGTGTTTTGGCTTTCAATTGCCTTGCTGCTCACTCTACGGCTCCTCTGCTAATGAAATTAATTGCTTTAGCAAATTTTCTCAATGTATAATATTTCAGAAGCCAGTGAGGACTAGGGGGAAAGACAATGCTTGAAATGGCTGAGAAGGTCGAGTGCCACCCAGCACACGCCTACGTCACAGACAACCCACTTTCTGTCTTCCTGCCCTTGTATTTCCTCACCCTGGGGCCTGGGTAGTCTGAGAGCTTCAACAGTTCCCCTTCTCAGGGATTTCCCACAACCTGGAATGCCTTCCACTCCTCCCTTTGGTCACAGGCTCAGCTCAGCATCCTGTTTTCAGTGTATTCTGCCTTGCCAGACAATATGAAATAGTGCTTACTTTCTTTTATTGAACCTTGTTTATTTTACTTCATGATATACACAAACTGTATGCATGTATTTATCAATATGCAAATGCTTAATATTTATATTTAAATTCCAAGAAAAAAGAATTCCTGTTGTTTCCTTTATTCTTTTTTTTAATATTGCAGTGTTGTACGGCTGTAAATGTAGTATGTTGTAAACACAACACCTGTTGCATATTTGGCCCTTCTCAACCAAGATCGTGTAAGAGAATGAAAACCTAATGTCTTAAGGCATCCATTCACTGCATGTATTAAAATAACTTTAACTTATACATTCAGGATAATAGAAACTAGGTATTATTCTGGGAGAATTAAGAATATAGTCACTCAAATCATATTTTTCAGACTCTGATTCTCACAAGACACCTGATTGATAAAGGCTAAGACATTTAATATTTTCTAAATGAACGAATCAATAAAGAATGCTTAAAGACCCAACACATACTTTAATTGCCTAAAGTTTTTCTTGTCATCAATATGGATATAATAATTGTCTCATTAACAACCATAGAATTTTACTGCTTTTGGCACTTGCCACATTTATGGGTGGTTAGTTAGGTACTTCTTTTTTTCATCTTTAGATACCATAAGCATATTTATGTGGACTTAATCTTTGCAGTGACCAAAGAAGTCATATTTGTTGAATGAACCAATGTTATATAATTCTTATGTGTTTAATAGATATAAAGAGAGAGATTTTTGCTTTATTTATTTTGTAAAGTATTCAATTGATTAACAGAAATTGAAGAAGCAAGGATAGGAAAACCAAATGCTATATTCATGTAAATCAGAAGTACATAAAACACAGAGCTATTAATTTTAAGTTCCCACACCCAGCCATAAAGTCAGGATTAACCTCACTCTGGCTGGGTGTACAGGTGGTACTCTGTGATTTTAATTTGCATTTCCATGATGACTAATAAGGTTGCACAATTTTAATATGCTTGCAGGCTTTCTGTGTATCAACTTTTTGTCAGTTGTTTGTAAATGTCTTTTCCCCATATTTTTAAATTGTAATAAACCTTAGATATGCTTTATAACCCATACACAAATAATTTGTGGTATGGATGTGAAAAACCTAATCTCCCAACCTTAGAAAAATCAGCTAAAAATTAAAAATAATTAAATGCTTACGATTACATTACAACCTCCTTGTTTATGGAAACATTTGGTCCACTTTACAACACATTTGTATGCAGGGAATTTTTGCTCTGATGTTTGCCAACTTAGAATCGTGTTGAATTGCATGTTATTTCATTCAGGAATACCTGTTGTTGGTTCAATGGAGAAATATGGTTGACCTTGTAGTAAGCTGTACACGAGACGAGCGTTATTTCCACTTGAAGGATCATCAGCGTCACTTGCCGTCACCTGGATGACTAATGTTCCTGAAGAGAACATGAATAGTTATAAGAAATTAAGCCTCTGGTCTTTTTGAAAATGGATCCTAGTTCTCTAAGATATTCTTTCTTTAGCAAGCAAGATGATGATATGCAACGAAAGACTAGCCCTCCTTTTTCTGGATTATGAAACAAATATATTTTTGTTTAGACAAGAAAATATAACTATAAAAAATAGCCCTTATTCCCAAATACAATATAGAATTTTAAATGTGTAGATCCATGATCTAATGCAACCTAAATATTAAGTAACCCACTAAAATATATAATTAAGGATTATTCAAAGATGTTTTATTAGTGGAGTAATCAAAGGGAAATTTAAAAGCAGTTTTTCTTTAAAAACCATATTGTAACCAGTTCTTCAAAAAATTATAGAATTTAATAAATATATTAATAAAGATTATTAAAATGATCTTGACATAGTGTCAAGCTGAAAATAAGCAAAATTATTTGGCTAATATTCCCTTCAACAAAATGCCTACTTTAATGAATTTTTTTTATAGTGCAATGTAAAAATCTACCAGCTTGATAAGGTAAGCATTCTTAATCCAATTTAGTAACAATCAATAAAATCATGGGAAATAAATATTTGTATGTTTAAAATCAATGGTTAAATTAAATACATTTATTTAATTGTGCTTTCTAATGATTTTTTGTAAATATGGAATCTAGCATTATGAGTCTTGTTGGAAACACACATTTTTGAAGCACTATGTTCTGTGTTTTTACCATGAAAACAATAAATTTAAAATAAATTAATGACACAAATTTGAGGCAGAACTTTTAAAATTAATTCCATAAAGTCTTGCTTTATCCTTACTCATAATTTGTAAATAGCTATAAAACTTAGAAGGAATTTAGGAATGGTCAATTCTAACATCGCTCTAATTATCTAATTTTATTTTCTTCAGTTTTTGTCTTTCTTTTCTCCTGTTTCAGTTTTATTGGCATAACATTTCATTAAATACAGATTAATCAACTTTAAAACCTCTAAATACTTTATAAATGTGTTTTCTAAAAAAAGTCAGTAGAGAGAAGTAAGCCTGTATACATTCTTAATCAGTAATTTAAAAATTGTAGAAATCTTCAAAAATAGTAAAGTAACATAAGCAGTAATAATAAATAAGCATCAAAGCAATTAAGAAATGCAAATTATTTGATAATATTTTGTATATTTATATTATTTGTGAGGACTTGTCATGTATAAGAGAAATTGTACATTGACTCTCAGTTCAGTTCAGTCGTTCAGTCATGTCCAACTCCTTGAGACTCATGGACTGCCCCTCACCAGGCTTTCCTGTCCATCACCAACTCCCAGAGCTTACTCAAACTTATGTCCATCATGTCGATGATGCCATCCAACCGTCTTATCCTCTGTCGTCCCCTTCTCCTCCTGCCTTCAATCTTCCCCAGCATCAGAGTCTCTTCAATGAGTCAGTTCTTCACATCAGGTGGCCAAAGTATTGCAGCTTCAGCTTCAGCATCAGTCCTTCAATGAATATTCAGGACTGATCTCCTTTAGAATTGGCTGGTTGAATCTCCTTGCTGTCCAAGGGACTCTCAAGAGTCTTCTCCAACATCACAGTTCAAAAGCATCAATTCTTCGGCACTCAGCTTTCTTTATAGTTCAACTCGCACATCCATACATGACTACTGGAAAAACTATAGCTTTAACTAGCCAGACCTTTGCTGGCAAAGTGATGTCTCTGCTTTTTAACATGCTTTCTAGGTTGGTCATAACTTTTCTTCCAAAGAGCAAGCGTCTTTTAATTTCATGGCTGTAGTCACCATCTGCAGTGATTTTGGAGCCCCCAAAAATAAAGTCTGACACTGTTTCCACTGTCTCCCCATCTATTTTCCATGAGGTGATGGGACCAGATGCCATGATCTTAGTTTGCTGAATGTTGAGCTTTAAGCCAATTTTTTCACTCTCCTCTTTCACTGTCATTAAGAGGCTTTTCAGTTCCTCTTTGATTTCTGCCATAAGGGTGGTGTCATCTGCATATCTGAGGTTATTGATATTTCTCCTGGCAGTCTTGACTCCAGCTTGTGCTTCATCCAGCCCAGCATTTTGCATGATGTACTCTGCAGTAAGTTAAATAAGGGTGACAATATACAGCCTTAACATACTCCTTTCCCCATTTGGAACCAGTCTGTTGTTCCATGTCCTGTTCTAACCATTGCTTCTTGACCTGCATACAGATTTCTCAGGAGTCAGGTAAGGTGGTCTGGGCATGGAACTCTCTTGCCTTTGTGATGACCAGTGGATGTTGGCAATTTGATCTCTGGTTCCTCTGCCTTTTCTAAATCCAGCTTGAACATCTGTAAGCTGATGGCTCACATTCTGTTGCATCCTGGCTTGGAGAATTTTGAGCATTACTTTGCTAGTGAGTGAGATGAGTGCAATTGTGTAGTGGTTTGAACATTCTTTAGCATTGCCTTTCTTTGGGATTGGAGTGAAAACTGACCTTTTCCAGTTCTGTGGCCACTGGTACATTTTCCAGATTTGCTGGCCTATTCAGTGCAGCACTTTCACAGAATCATCTTTTAGGATTTGAAATAGATCTACTGGAATTCCATCCCTCTACTAGCTGTGTTCATAGTGATGCTTCCTAAGGCCAACTGACTTTGCATTCCAGGATGTCTGGCTCTAGTTGAGTGATCACACGATCATGGTTATCTGGGTCATGAAGATCTCACAGTCAGCAATGTTATGCAGTACACAGAAAGTTGACAAAATCACCATGAAGCCAATGATGTGTCTTTCATGGAAATAATCAATGATTGTTTAAAGTGCCCATTTCCTTGTATTACCAGTAAAGATAGATAACAGACACTTGGTGGTTGAGTATCATCTTTAATGTGTATTACTCACTCTATCAGTGTATGAAGCATAGTATATGTCATATATATAATCTAACCTTTTTAGCCTCAATTTATTCATTTTATCAACATTTTAATGTACTCTCACTAAAACTGATAATGTTGACTCGACAACATTAATAGGTGAAAAATTAAATTCTCTCTAAATTATATTAGAAATAAATATATTTCTAAAGGATAAATGACCTATATGTACATTAATGAAAGTTATCTTATACAGGCTATTTTAACCTGAAGTATATCATCAGGATATCCTTCATCCACATTTGCATAATTTGATCAGTTTCTTAGATTAACGGTGTTTTATCACATAGCCCCCATTCAATTTAATCATGTCTTAAAAAGAACTGCATTCACTCCCTGTATGTCTCAGACATCATGAAAGAAACTGGAAGTAAAACAGTAGATGTCTACAAAATTCACTCTGGTTTATTGTAATGCAAGAATTAATATTTTTTTAAATTAAAAATCAGGGACAAATGCTTCCAGTACAAGTTGCATATATATATATATATATATATATATATATATATATATGTTTGACTAAGGTGGTCCTTGGTAGAACTGGATAGCTGATCACCTGCTTAGAATCACTGTGACAATGCAGAATGATCATGAAAATTTTATGCTAGGGGAAGGAGCAATAACCCAAAACCTGTATATGTGTACACTGAATTTTCTCACCCTTAACTCCTATTATTCTATCTTATGACACCATCCTATAATTAGAATTGGGAAATTTATGGCAACACTTAAAAACTTAAATTGATTCTTGAAGTTCAATTATCAAGGAAAGTATAGCAGAGAGACGGACAACCTTCGCTTGGTGACTGAAAGAGCCAAAGGTCACTGAATTTTTGAGTTGTCACCATAGCTTGGTCACAGATGACCAAACTATTTGTAAATGCAAAGAGCCAATGATTGGACTCTTGAAGTCTAAAGATCTCTTAAATCAATTTTTATCGATCTTGTTAAACGAAGAAAGTATAATTATAAAAAATCATTTTCTGAGATTTTATTAAGAGCAATTTTCAGTTTACTTCTTCCTTTAATAAACTTACAGCATAGCATGTAATATAATAACCTATGTCTCTTATGTCTCCAGCATTGGCAGGAAGGTTCTTTTCCACTAGTGCCCCCTGGGAAGCACAGTTTATAACAACAAAATATATAATATAGAATGTCTGCATTCTATCCATTACATTGACAGTTGATGTTGTTTTCCTATATTATCCTTGAGATATTTTCTCAAATATGCAAAATTTAAATCAACTTTGTTGTTCTGAATAGCCTCTTAATCTTAAAGATAGTTTTTACAAAGGACTTTACGGAAATAAATTTAAGATGATATTTGACTTTGCCCGCTTTATCAGACATATCGTCTTACAAAAACTTAGTTTATGTATGTAAATTTACATGTAAACTTGTACAAATGCTTGGAAAAAAATCACTCTTCTCTCTGGTTTTATGCAACCTCACAGCAGCTTCCATGCAGTTGGAGGATCTCTTCTTTTGCAACATCGCTTCTCATGTCCTTCTTTTCTTAGAGGACTGTCCAATTCCACTGATTCATCTTCACCAGTCAACTCCTTTATATCTAGCAGTTCTGTCACCCCGATGTTTTCCTTTTCCCTACCTACATTCTTCAACAAGGAGATCTCATCCATTGCCATGCCCTCTGCAGTTCTCCTCACTGTGCCATGGGAATTTTTTTCCCAGAACATGGCATGGCTGGCCTCTTTGGATCATTTTCTTTAAATATTACCTCGTAAATGACTCCACTTTGTCCAGTCAATTAGCCATCATCATATTTTCTCATACTTAACAGTTTAATAACATATAAGGTCGAATATTACCTGGCTTCTTTAAAATAGTTGCTTACAGTTTGTGCACTATAATTAAAATATAAGCTCTTTTAACTAGCAATTACTTCATATATTTCCTTTACAACCGAATCCCCAATCTCACAAAAAATTCCTAGAACATGTTAGATCTATAATATATGTTTGTTGAAGAAGGAAAAGAAAAGAGCTAGGAGGAAAAGGAGGAGGAGGATAAGGATGGAAGGAGAAAAAGAAATATATCACTGCCTAGTGATCAGACAGGACAATATTAACTCATCATTTGTATCTAAGGATAATTGGCCTTGATATATATTACACAGCTAAATTTGTTTATGCTGTTGTTAAAAATCTATGTTCTGAATACATGTAGAAATAGGTCTTTAAATTGCTAGTTGTTAAAAGGTGAAGAATCAAGAAAGTATATTATGGAATCTACATTTTTAGACATGCTGGATAATGAATCAAATGTTCAGATAAGGCAGTTTTAAAGCACCTTAACATAATTTAAAAATCATCATTAATAAATCACACTTAAATAAATTCAAGTTTATCACAATTAAATACATTTTATGAATTAAAATTTATATACTATTTGTTGTTTTATTACAATTTTCTAACAAAGGAAGAGCAGATAACTTTGTATGATTGTATGATAATTGTCCCCCTATTGGAAACAATTCTGATTTCCAAGGCAGTCAATTATTATATCTTATGGAAAGCATTCTCCTTTACAAGTATTTATACTTAAAGTATTTATTAAAGTGATATTGGGTTTGAAAAAGAAATTAAAAATGGATGTGGCTACACAGAGGTCTTCAAATGTTTTGCTTTTAGTTTTCATGATCAATTGTTTGGATAAATATAGGTTTTTTTTGCCTTATAAAATTGTTTCTCTTATTTTTAAATGGAGATGATCTTATATGTTTTTTTGAGATGCAAAAGTATAGTTTATTTTGGAAAGTAAATTCTTATATGGAAGAAACTAATAAGTGAACAAGTTAAATAATTTCATGTATCACTCAAACATGTTTAACCTTTTTTTATTGAAGACTGAAATTATATTTTAACAAGACAAATTACCTATTAATAAATAGCATCATTGTTTATAAAATTTTAGTGTATAGTCAAAATTTTCAAATATTTTACTTAACAGATTTGCAGAAGGAAGTACCCAGGTAGAACTTTAAATAATTCATGTTCAAAACATATGCTTGAAATTTTAAATCTGTTTTCATTGTTAACAGGTACATCTTTGATGTAAATTAATATGCAATACCTTCTGGAGACATCTCTGGTACAATGGCCTCATAAGGTTCATCTAGGAATTTTGGTTCATTGTCATTGATATCCGACACTCTGATGACAAACTCAGACTCAGGTTCCACAGCCCTTCCAGTATTGGTGTCGATTACCTGGGCTCTGAGAGTGTAGAGGGACCGTTCCTCCCTATCAAGCTTCTGTTCAGCATATATGTCACCTGTTCTTTCATCAATGACAAAAATACTTCCAGCTCCAACTCCCAAAAGCTTGTACTGGAAAGAGTTGTTTCCATTGTCTAAATCAGATCTTAGCTGCAAGTGCAAAGAGAGATGGTTTATTGTCCAGATATGTTAAAATATTTTCATTGTTTCATTTTCATGTTTGCTAATTATTCTCCAAACTAATAATTTCATATAATTCCCATATTCTATTAAATGAGGTGAAATGTTAAGTTTAAGATTAAAACCTATTACCAGGCAGATGACTCTGAATTTTCACTGTAAATCACTATACAAATTTTATTACTCTAAATAGATGATTCCAATTAGAAATGATAAAGATTGAAAAACAAAGTCTCTTTTACACATTATGCACAACACAGTCGGTTCATGTTTACTCAGATGATTACATTTTTAGTCATTAAAATCATGCTCTCAAATATTTATATTAGATCCGGATCTAGAGACAGTTAAAGAGATAATGACTTACATAAATTTAAATAGTGATGTTCTATCTCTAGGCTAAAAACACATAGAAGACATGGAAATATTAGTAAGAAAATTAGGGAGCATGTTGAGACTATGATAATAATCTCAGTCATCCATAAAATCTGAAAATTACTTTATATTAGTTTTTTCAATTAATCCTCATACTAATATTGTGTAATACATATTGTTGACTTAATAAATTCTTTGAATAGAGAAGAGAAGTGAGATTTAAAAATGTAAAAACTTTCACAGAGCTGTATGGTTTGGGGGTTGAATTATGATTTGGACCAAAGCCCTGTTTGACCCCAGACCCTTGCCTACATAGCTCCTCCCCTCTTAGAAACCACTATGTTACATGGTCTTTTAGTCCTCAAATTTTAGCCAAATTAGATCTAATTCTTTCTTTCCAATATAGTCCACTTAATTCTCAAATATACCTATTCTTTGGCTCTCACTAAATAGCTTATTCATCATAGTGCTAATGGAATTTTGAATTTTATACATTAAAAAGGGTTATGATATAGATAATACTACATGATTTTTCATATCTAACTTATTTTACATAAAGAAAAGAAGCATTAGAGAGTAACCTCCTAATTATCGTGAATCCATGGTTTTCTTGATTCCTTATTCATATTCCAATTTATGAATGTGTGTGTGTGCTCAGTCATGTATAACTCCTTGTGATCTCATGGAACATAGCCCACCAGGTTCCTCTGTCCATGTTATTCCAGGCAAGAATACAGATGTGTGCATGTTCTCCTCTGTACATGGAGTTTTCCAGGCAAGAATACTGGTGTGGTTTGCTATTTCCTCCTCCAGGGGATCTTCCTGACCCAGGGATCGAACTCATATCTACTGTATTGGCAGGTGGATTCTTTACCACTGTGCCAACTGGGGAACACTATTTATGAATATGCCCTTCTTCAAAGTAAGAGCTTCTCTGAAAATTTACACATTTAACCAATAGACACAAGTTTAATTTCATAATTTTTCTGACAGCTCAAGGTACAATGTATCATTATTCTGGACTAATTAATACATTTTTCTATGTGAGGAGAATAACTCAAGATATCAAAATAATAATTTAATAATTATAGTGTTGTCTTGAATCACTGTTTTACAATAAAAGGAACAAATTGGAAATAATGAAAAAAGAATTACAGCTCTTAAATTTTGAAAGTCCTTAATTATTCATAAAAGTGGAGTCCACATGCCCTAATGATAAGAAATTAAGGAAAACAAATGTATTTTCTAAAATAAGTATTAGAAATGAGAAGAATTACAGCCCCTGGTTTCCAATATCATTTCAATGTAGTTCGAATACCAGGATGAAGGAAAGTCAGATTTAGTCATGAATAAATGCATTTCAAGTATATTCAGTTTAATTGCCATAGATCAGTGAGCTTGATCTTTTTAGGATTCAGATTTAATTAAAATAAAAACAATAATTTCAACATCTTTCTATTTATGTCACAAAATGCTTAAGTTAAACATTTCAATTTCATGGTTATGCATTTTCTATATTTCCATTCAAAATCATTTTTTTCAATTATGTATTTACTATCAATTTGGCAAATCAATATGACTGAATCTTTCCTTAATTGTGCTTCCAAATTTTAACCCCTTTTAAAAAATTGATCAAAAAGAAAGTGATTTTGGACATGTCAGCTACATTGTCTTTTTACCAGCTCTGTCACTACAAACATGTAAATATTCACTATTACTTTCTTTTAAACAGTTGCCTGTATGTTGTTTAAGCCTAATGAGGTTGTTTAGAGGAAAGATATCTGTTAGAATATTTTCATAAATATTTTTACAGAATGAAAAACAAAGCTAAATGCTATATGAAAGGAGGAAATGGAAGTTATCTGTAGTGAGCAAAAAAAAAAAAAGAAACAAGAAAATGTGAATTAATCACATCACTAGTCCTCATTCTGACTGCATTGATGCACTTCCCTTAGAGCCTTACCACTAAAAGTCAAAAAAGGCATGAGAAATATTACTTATAGCAGGTACACACACACACAGCAATGACTGAAATCAGCCTAAAATCCTAGCCGAGGTCATTGGTTGAATGTACTCATATATTTGGCTGAAGGCTAGATGAACTCGTGTGGAATCCAGAGAACACACTAACACAGAAGCTCTCTTGAAAGGGTGAGAAGGAGGGAGTTAATGAATTTTGAGTGCTTCACCCTTTGGGCCCAATTAAATTTTAGTGCTGGTTAATTAGCGGTTAAACTTATTTCAGTTCATTCATCCAGAGAAAGAGCCTTACAGAGAAGAAGGACATGATATTATAATTACCTCTGTTTAAAGAAAATTAAATAAGAATAAAAACTGAAAACATAAGTAGGAAATGTTTTGTGTCATTAATGACATTTTCTTAAAATGTTTTTATAGAGAGAAGTGAAATAATTATTGGTTTTACTTCAACTTCACTAATCAAATGAATGTGTAGGTTCTTGAAGCTACCTGACTGTAAAAGGATTTGGTATTAATCTATTTCATTAAAATTTAATGAGGGGTAAATCAACACCCACTTAGCATAATGGAAAATTCTGCTAAATACTGTCGGTAAATATTACTGTTGCTTTGATCCATTACCAAAAATAACACCATCAGATTTCCAGATGTTGATAAATGCTGCATTTTCACATGAGAGACTAAAGTGGAATTTGAAAAGCAGAGCTTTCCCTCTTCTTCAAGTTCTGTGAATATTTCAGGTGTTTGCAAATATGAAAAAATCAGTATGCTGTTGTTTGAGCCCTTCTAATAGTTCCACTGAGAAGATGAAAAATTCATCAAATACGGAAGCTTCCTCAACTCATTCGATTAGATTTACAAGGTTATTTCCAGTAGCACTTTCAGAAAATCAGTACCTGGCCAATGTGATGTCTGGTCTTATTCATTTCCTCTGGTACAAAAAACTGGTTCCACATCCAGCCACGCCTGATTCTCAAATGAGATCCCGCTGGGTGCCTCACCTCCTCTGTTTTAGAGTTTTCTGCTGCTATAATGCAAGGCCATAGGAGAGGAATTCCCAACATAAAAGGCAGCAATAACCAACAATTCATTTTTCTCTGGATTTCAACTGGTACTCTTCAGAGGAAACAGTGTGCTGCAAACAAAACTCATAAGCTCCCTTGTAATATTTTCAACTCTTACGTATCTTTCATATTCCTAGAGAACAGAATAAAACAATATTTTGACATTTAAAAAGTAACACTTTGACTTTGTGGGAGAAGGCGAGGGTGGGATGATCCAAGAGGATAGCATTGAAACATGTATATTATCATATGTGAAACAGATCGCCAGTCCAGGTTCAATGCATGAGACAAGTGCTCGGGGCTGGTGCACTGGGAAGACCCAGAGGGATCGGATGGGGAGGGAGGCGGGAGGAGGGACTGGGATGGGGAATACGTTTACACCCATGGCTGATTCATGTCAATGTATGGCAAAAACCACTACAATATTGCAAAGTAATTAGCTTCCAATTAAAATAAATAAATAAATAAATAAATTCTTCTGAATCGCCTAAAACACACACACACACACTTTCTCACAGAATTATTGAAGGCATGATACAACTTTTGCATCTGTAAAAATGGGAAAAAATATGCATTTATTTTCCAGGTAAGCTAGTTAATCATATTTTGTAGCAATAATTTGAACAGAACAATTACAAATTTCTGCTTAGTTATTGTCATAAATCTGCCTGAAGGTGGAAATTTGCCCTAAAAATCTCCTTGACTGATAACTGCCACTGATATGTTTTTAAAAGTTAAGCCTGCTTACTTCTATTTCAGTAAAACTCAAGCTATTCCATTAAATCAACTATCAAACCAGGCGATAATGTGACATTTCTTCTCCTTTTCAATAGAAATATGTTCTCATTCAGTTTCTCAAATTATGTTACTTTACATAGCTAATTAAATATTAAAAAAAAAGAAAATTCAACTTAAGATCAGAGGGACTTAAAATTTTATACTAATTCATAATACTGATGTTATGAAACACTTTGTGAATAGAAACTCTAAGATATTTTTATATTGCAAATATATACCAAAGAAATGTTTTTTTATCTTAACAAAGAAACAAAGCCATTTATAGAAAATAAAATAAAAATTACAGTGCTTGGGTAACATGGCTGAATGTTCATAATAAGTAAAATGGAGATGAAAGGTATCTTTCAGTATTTAAATATTAAGACAAAAAAAAAAAAACAAGCTAGGGACTTTTCAATTTAGAACTTTCCATTTACCTGATACTGATCATACCAACTCTCCATGAAATGATTGGTAATTCTCACCTTTAAATGAAACAGAATAACTTTGCATTTCTCATATTTACATAGTCTTCATATAACCAAATTGGATTTGTTTGGGATTAAGGAAGAAAAATAGTTTTGTCAGATCTAACAATGCCCTAATCAACATAAAAGTCATCAAATCTTTCTCAGTTAGGAGTTTTTCATACGACCTTGCTTGAATTTTCTCCACATGTCTTTGATTGTCCCTGACAGATTTCTTAGGTCTTTGGCTCTTGTTAGTAAGAATTGTTAAAAAAGGCTAATTAACAAAGAACATACTGTTGTTAATGGGAATTCCATGGTCCTTCTCTAATTCCTTCAAGCAGATATATTCTTTGTTATAAGTTTACTTTATGAAAATCAAGAAAAAATTCACCTGAGGTAAAAACTGAGATTAATTTTACCCTTATGTTCAATATTTGAAATTTTAATTATGTCTGTTGCTTAGAAATTGATAAAACACATATTTCTGATAGCAATGAACAATGAAAACATTTGTAACAAGTACAGTTTTCTTTATGAAAAGATACTTTGCATAAATTTGGAAAACTATCACTAACAGTGATATGTATTACACTTAAAATGTCAGGTAAACTTTATAAAGTTAAGTTTATATTATGATATCTTCATACATCTAAGCATAGAATAGTATAATGAATAGCCATCATTTAGGTTCAAAATTATCAAGACATGATCAGTCTTGCTTAATCTGTATACATGGCTATTTCCTGATATTAAAAACAATTCAAAATGTCCTGTCATTTTAAATATTCATTATACACACAAGCAAACGGGCACACATGCTATATATGTGTGTGTGAGTACCTTTTAAAAATCAAAATTGACTACTAAAAATTAAGAATGTCTTCAATACAATTAAATATTCAAACAATACTTAAATTAAAATTATTTAAACATCTTTGAGTCAAGATGCAGCTATTTCTACACCATGTAGTTTGTTGAGACATTTGTTAAATGTCAGTTAATTCACAAGTCTCATCACTCTAAATTTAACTTTTCTTTCCATTTATGTGTTGAGAAAAGTAATTGATCCTATAGATTTTCCCACATTATGGATTTTTCTGACTGCATCCCCACAGTGTGGTTTAATATATTTCTTTATTTACTTTAAGTTAGTAGAATCTTGATTAGATGCTATTTTACATGTTTGTCAATAATACTCATAACTGATACTCCACATTTCATATTGCTTGATATGTGAAGGTAAAAATTTCTTAGTTTTGTCACATTTTATATCCAGTCTTGATGTTGTTCTTGCTTCTAAGTCTCATTACTAGCTTCATGTCCTGGCACTTGAATCATTTATTATGAATTTCCTCATCACTCTTTCATTTAAAGTTTTGCCAGTTATTGATGATAACTGTCTAAATCAAATATTTTAGTGACCACATAATGAAACATAACAAAGAAAAAAATCAAACAAACAAAAAAATGAAACTCCTACAACTGAATGATATAATATCTAAAATCAAAATGGTTATATCAAAAGATCAAACATTATAGAAGAAAATACCATTGACTTTAAAGATTTTTTTAAATTATTTGAATTAAAGTAGAGCGATAATTGCAGCAGCAGAAAAAAAATTTTTTTTTAAATAAGGAGAATTTCAATAGCTATGGAACAATTTCAAATAGTATAACACCTATATAATTGGATTCCAAAAGAGAAAGGAGAGAAAATAATAATAACCAATGGTTTTTCAAATGTGCAGAGCAATATCACACTTAAAAAGACACTCAACAAACAAGTAAGGAAAAAAACCAAACAAAATCATGTTATTGTAAAATCACTAAAAATGTAAAGATAAAAACGGAAACAATGAAAATGTCCATTAAGTGCTCATCAGAAATAACTGATGAAAAGAGAATGACAGACAAAAAGTTCTGAGAGAAAAACTTGCAAACCTATAATTATATGTAAAATAAGGATGATATACAGCAAGTTAGGGAAAGTAATCAACAGCACCACTGCACTATAGAACTATTAACTAGAGACTCTTCAGAATGAAGGACACTTGGACCAATATCTAGTAATGAATTAGAAGGAAATAGTAAATAAGTATAGAGAATTATAAAAAGCTATTTTGCATTTTTATTAATACTTTAAAAATATCTACTATTTATAAATCAATAACAATATTACCAGATATATAACATGTAGAATAAAATCAATGATGATCATGGTGAAAATAAAGGGATGTGGGAAATTACACTATCTGTTATTCAACTTCTTACATTATAGATAAAGTGATATAGCAATTCCTCAAGTAGGCTGCTGTGAGAAATGATGGGTGCACACAAAATTCACCAGAGCAATCACTAAAAATAAACAAAATGCCATATCATGTGACCAAGAAAGGGAAAGTAAGATTCTAGAAATTTTTTATTAGTGCAATAATAAAGAGGAGAATGCAAGGGAAGAAGCAAACTGAAGATTGTATAGCAAATTCAACGAAATGAATCACTGCAGTAAAAAGAGATGAATAAAACACTATAAGTAACATGTAGTGTTTGTTAGTTTGGGATTTAAAAACCTAACCCAACAACATACTAAACAAATCATGTAATTACAAATACATGGATAGCTTGTAAGGACAAGGAGAAAAATATACCATAAAATAATAATCATAAATTAACTGAAATGCTATATCAGTATCTCAGAAACAAGACCTCAAGATAAGAGGTATATAATCTGACATAACAAGAGCACTTATAAAGATTATAAAAGGAAATTTATCAAATAGGCCTAACATTCCTAAACATAACTGAACTTCATATCAGATCTTTAGAATACACGAAGCAAATATCAATAGAACTCAGGAGAAGTAAATATTATAATTGTGGAGCAGCTAATACTGGCCTCCTGTATTGAAATGCCAATTGAACAATAAAAATCCCTGAGAATATAAAAAAAAAATTTTAAGTACAATCAATCAGCATAAAATAATTAAAACTATAGACCGTAGCACCAAATGGGATATAGTTTTCATGCACTGCTGGTGGGAATGGAAGCTGGCCCAACCAGTGTAGTAAAACAGGTTTTTAAGTTAAAAACTTAAACATGTACCAACCATGTGACCCAGCCATTCTACCCTCAGATATTTGCCCCAGATGAATAAAATTACACATCCATGCAAAGATATTTACCAGAATGTTTAAAGCAGCTTTATTTAATATAGCCCAACTGACTGCAAATCAAATGCCTATCAACAATTCAATGTATTAAGTGTGGTCTATCCATGGGGTGTAATAGTGCTTAGTAGTAAAAACAAATGAACTATTGATGCACAAAGCAACATCGTCAATAGTTATGTTGAATGTAAAGAAGCTTGACAAAAGATAATTCAGATTGCATGCTTCCATCTGTATATAATTCTAGAAAATTCAAACCTATTACAATGACAGAAAACAGGTAAGTTCTTGAGAGAGCATGGAGCTGGAGAAGAAGAAGAAAGAGGGAATACGGAGGGTCTTAAGAGAAAATCAAGAGGTGATGGCTTTGTTCATTATCTTGATTGTGATGATGGTCTCACAGGAGTATAAATATGTCAAAGAAACCCAAATCAATTTGAATATGTGTGGTTTGTTCTGTCAGTTATGCCTCACTACTGCTGTTAAAAAAATCTGATTTATTTCAATGCTACTCTCTCAAATCTTCCTACATTCTCCTCGCCACCATTGCATCCAAAAGTCTGTTCTTTTGCACTGAAACATATGCATTAGGGCTTCCCTGCTGGCTCAGACAGTAAAGAATAAACGAGCAATGCAGGAGACCCAGGTTCAATTCCTGGGTCGGGAAGATCCCCACTCTCCCCTTCTGCCACTGAGTCCAAAAGTCTGTCCTTTTGCA